TTATTTTCCTGAACGTTCGGAGAAATAGTGCTCAGCTTTATTTTCCCGAACGTTCGGAGAAATAGTGCCGGCCTTTTTTATATGCAAATGAGGTAGAGTCGACTCAGAAATTTACTTTTTTTTTTCTTTCTTTGTTTTTTTTTAAAGCCGATCGCATCAGCTTTCCTAATTTTGCGAAGGAACCTCGTCAAAACCATTTGATGTAAAAAATAATTGTGTTTTGGGAATTTTGAAAGGTGATACACTCACACTTAACTCTCAAGTAGGTTTATAAGAACTTTTTTTCACTCATTGGTAACACCAGCTGTTTGGCATAGTGGTTATGCTGCTGGACTACTAATCATGTTTACTTCCCTCACTCACAGGTTCGATTCCCAGCCACGCCACTGATTTTTCTAATCATGTCATATTATTGTGTATGCTTTGAGATGTTAACATGTCACTAATAATACCCATTCCAGGTGAAGAGACAAAGGAAGGCAATAGGAATACAAAGTAACACAAATTGAATTTACTTTCTTTACTTTCTTTATTGCCCAACCAAATACTAAACCCTATCTTTTACATATCCCACTCAAAAGTCCCTTCTTTATTGCGTAGGCTGGGGTGGTCGCTCGTTACGGAAGTCCTTCCAAATTTTTACTCAAAGTGGTTGTGGTACTTTGGTGCTGGAACTGCAACTGTAAGTAATGCAGATGCACTTTTACTCAGGAGCTTAACCAAAGTATTTTTGGATGCTGAGCACATAGAAGGCCCTATACTAGCAATGCCAATCGCCCGCTGCGCCTTGCCTTGTGCCGGAAATCGGCCTCCGCGCGAGGGGTATTTTTTGGGCCGCTCGGAATCAGAAGTGACTCTCTTCTAAGTTTAGTTACGGGAAAACTCCTGGACGAAAATAAATGAAACTCGGCAACCAACCAGAGGAAAGGTTAAACTAACGACATGCCAGCGTACAATCCCGAACGATTACTAGAACCGGAGATATTGCCGTGTTTGTGAGAATTTCCTCTGCGGTTCGAAAACTAAGCGGAGCTGCGGGTTGATCGCCGACCACACAAGCGCCCCACATGTCTTCTTTATTGCTGTAAAATTTCAGATCTCTGCGTTTAGTAGATTTTCCGTACCAACTTAAAATTACCACCCACCCATTGATAAAACACTAGATCTAGAAACTTAATCGCGCATTCCAAACGCGAGGTGCCGGCATGCAAGAGGCGCGTGATCGCTAGGCGGCATGTGATTGGCTGCCTATAACCAAATGGGTCACCGATGACTACATCGCGGGTTTTCCCGATAGCGCTTTACTGAGTTTTAGAAGGGGTGATCGCGTCGCGGTAAAAACGATGTCACGCAATTCAACAAATTTAACGCAAATATCAGTCTTTAAGATCCAAAGTAATGAAGACAACGAAAAAGTGATAGCAGAACTAGATTTGGCACAAAAAATCACATGGAGATGCCAAGTTTCATTCATATGCTCCAATTCATTACTGACTTATGAACAGTTTTTCCTCAAAATACATCAAAACATGTCCCACATTTTGGCGATTTTTTTCCTATATGAAGGTCCTCCAACATTTTGCAAAAAAAAAATCCCAATAACTTTTTTATTTATCAATGGATTTTTAAAATTTAAAAACCACAGTTCTTAGAATTTACTCTAGTTTCATTTAAGCCCATTTTTAAGCAATTCGGATGAAAATTTAATTTTTCATTGTCATTGCTACCTATACTATTATCCGGTGCTTTTTCGGTAGTGCCCACCCCCCTTATTTGAGCCTGACCTAGATCTAGATACATCTAGATCTAGATCTATACGTTTGATTCGCGGTGAGCTAAGATATCAAACCTAACAACAGCAAAACATTAAATTGTGGTAAAATTCAGGGGGGCAGAAATCCCCCTTCCTATTTTTGTTAGCCCCCCTGAAACCCCCGTACTCTTGGGGCCAAATCCCATGAATAACAATTGCGGGGTGGGTACTACCGAAAAGCGCCTACTATTATCCTGTAGGCCACCTCTATTCTCACCCTGGGTGAGAATAGCGCAGGCGAGTCTTTTGGCTCTATTCTCACCCGGTGTGCGTTCACTGTTATAGCCTAGATCTAGGCCAACCAATTTTGCATTCACCCTAAACCACAGAATTCTACACTGTGATAACAGAAAAATTGTAGAATTCTGTGCCGTGAACAAACGTTTCATTACTACTGTTAGCCTACTAAAAGCGTACAATTTTGTCTGTGGGCAGTGGAGAGAGAGAGAGAGGAGTAGCGCGAGAACTTCCGGGCAACAGACGACCAAATTAATTTACTTTTGTGTTTTAACATCATTTTAAAACTTTGTTTTGGTCAATTTGATCGTCCACACCGATAGACAGTATTCAGAAGGCCACCTGTATTCTCACCTGTCCATCCGGCTATCAGAACTTCCAACAGTGAGAGGTAGATTAAAGCTTGATATACATAGACACTTCCATCTTTGGTTCCTTGCAGTTGGCTATACTTAGATGTAGTCACGTGATTGGAGGGGTATCCTGGTCTGACGTCTTAACAAGATGGACGCCTTACCTAAAAATAGTTTGCGTCGTTCTACATTTTATGACATCTAGCCGCACTTAGATAGATATCTAGGTTAGGCCCTATTGACCGAAACCTGTTGAGTACACAGATCTCATTAGATCAAGATCTATAATCATTCTGTTTCTGTCAGTAAGACACCCTTTGGTTTCGTTTGAAACACAAATAATCAAGAGATCTAGATGTAAGCCTACTTTAAGTAGGCCCTATTGCCCCCAAAAAAATTTCCGAAGTAATTATTTCTTAGAACGTTAGGGAAAGTAAAGCTGAACTCTGTTTCTCCGAACGGTTTCCGATCTTGAGATTTTTTGGGTTATTTGCGAGATTTAAGCGTCATCCTTTCATTCTGCGAGGACTGGGAAGAAGCATTTTTTGCATCAAATTCAATTTCTAGAGCTAGAGATTTTTAAATGTCTGAATATTCAGATACTTTAGTTTTGGTTTGGGCAACACACAGAATTCTACATACAGTGCAACGTTCCTGCACTTTACTTCATTTTAAAATACCTTCAAAAGGTTCTGCGAGAAAACAAGACTGCTCGACCTTGGCAGTATACTATTTTGCATTTAGTCACCCAGCAAAAACTAATATCCTTCATGTAAAAAAAAAAATGGACTGGACTACTAACTTACTAAGTTTTGACAATATTTTATGTCTCAGCCTGTGTTCTGTCTTACTGATATACTGGTTGTCATGTTTACTCAGATATGCTCCTTCAGGCTTGATAGCAGTAAACTGAAAAATCAAATTGTTCACAGCTTGAGAAGAATACATCACGAATTTAACGATACAACTCACCTTGCTGACTTCTTTTTACTGTGCAAGTTGTTTGGATAAAGAACTTTGAATCAAATTTACAGTTTTGTGATCAGTCTTGTTCATGATTTGTCTTTTCTGAGAGATAGCTCTGCATTAGCTATTTAGATATTACAATAGCAAGTCTTTTTTAGTTTTACCAGAAGTGAAATAAACCCATATGATTTTTCTTTTGTTTTTCAGCCTTATATCCACAGTTTGGCTCCTGCATTTCACGGTTTAGTGCCAGCTTCCATTCCTCATCCAACCTCAACAAAAAAGACTATTATGATCTTCTGGGGGTGCCAAGAAATGCAGATCAGTCTGCTATTAAGAAAGCATATTACAAGGTATGATGCAGGACAGTAGTATGAGAATTCTCTAAGGATCAGGCATTTAGATATTGTTGCTACTAATTAATTAAGCTAAAAAATTCAAAGTGGAAGATTAATATATATGTGAGACAGCGTGGTGGAATCAGGCTCTTGTCAATTTTTGGGCATGTAGAGTTATTGTTATCATCTTAAAGCTTGTTCAATTGTCTTTATTTGAATGAAAAAAATATCCATTTATCTTGAATACAAGTTGAGATATTTGCGAATGAAGGGGGCGGGGTCACCTGTTTTCAGAGGTAAGATTAGTGAGAAAATGGCCGCCAAAAATTAGTTATTTCCTAAGCTTAAGCGAGTCCATGGTAACTGAAAATTTTCATTTATTGTGCCTTTAATCAACGTTTTTCAGAAAAATCCATACAGAAACGATTTCTTTAATTGGCATGAAAAACAAAAATTTGAAAAAAATCCACAAACCTGTGGAAAAATGCCTGTTTCTTCACTTTGATTATTTTGACGAGAGCCTGATTCCACCTCGCTGCCTCACATATTTTGTTTTTTTAACGTCGGTGAAGTAGAAGTGAACTGATGGGTAATGGGTTAAGGGAGTGTTTATTATGATAAATAACCTTATAACATCCAAGGAAAAAGATGTCATCGACCTATGATACACAGTGGTCTCCGCCTAAGATCCCACCGCTTACGATCCTGGTTCGCTTAAGATCCCGCTGTTTCAAGGAAACAATTTTTACTGCACAAAAATTGCCCCTAAGATTTCACTCTGAAGGTCAACATTCGTCCAAGATCCCGCATTTCAGATCATATTTCGCACAGCCAATCAACCAAAAGTGAAAAGTTGAGATCTTTGAACTGCCCATCGCATCCTAGATAAGCCATTGTCATGAATGTGATCACATAAACGTAAAACTCAATGAAACAGTACAGTGTTTGCCCCAAACGGGATCACACTGAGGTGTGAACTGACCGACGCATTTGTTTGCCCCTAACATCACACTCGCATGTGAGCTCTCCACTTAAACTTACATAACTCGCTGGGTGGGTAGGGCCTACATGCTCGCTCCAGGCGGGATCTCATTGAACTGTGAATTCTTCCCTGACCTTTGCCGCAGTAAATTGTCTCTTTTCTCTCTGAATTTGCAAGACAAACTAAATTTTGATTGGTGTGGTCACTACATAATGGTGCATAACGACAAAGGCGGGGGTACTCAGTCAGAGATGGAAAGCTGATAAATTTTGAGAGATAAGGGTAGGTGAGGAGCAGCTGGATAAGTGTAGAACTAGAGACTAATGATAGGCTAATAAGTGTAAATAGCATTCCTCATACCACTGTGATTGGTCATCAAGGTTGACCACTCTTTGCTCGCCATATGTCATAAACCCACCCACAGGTCACATCAGTTCATTTTAGAGTGGAGGGAGACCCATTTTACTGGCTGTGGGGGCCTTAATACGGGTGACCGTAGATTCTTACCGTGGTCCATCGGCTAAGATCGCGCATTTTCCCTGCTCCCGAGCACCGGGATCTTTGGTGGAAAGTACTGTTATGTGATATTATTATGCTTTGAAAGATCTTTAAATACACGTAATACTTAATTTCCCGTTAAGCTGAGACGTTCTTAGCATTCAGTAAAAGTACTGGCTGGGGAAACAAATTGTAATCGTTGGGAAAAAATTTTCACAGATTCATTCCTGACGACCTCCTAGTGTCGAATTGATTAATAATTTTCTTCACCACTTGCCAAAAGTATCTAGTGTATTTTGACACAGTTCCTTTTACTTTTTGATATGGTTCTTTTGTTTAAGATTTTTGCGTCTTTGTTATGAATGAGTATCTATTTTGTTCTGTATTTGCTTTCACAGTTGGCCAAACAGTTTCACCCTGATATGAACAATAAGGACCCACAAGCAGCTAAAAAGTTTCAAGAGGTTTCAGAAGCCTATGAAGTAAGTTAGTTGTACGTGAATGTGTTGAAAAGACATGAAAGGTTTTTCATTACCTAAGAATTTTTTTCTTTAAAAAAAATGTTTTTCTTTAAATCTGTACTTTTTGTTTTCTTGTGGTTACTTCCGCTGGACTTACTTGCATGAAAATCTTTTAAAATATCCAGGCCTTGTAAGCGTTTTTCATTAAACCTGTGTCTTTTCTTTTAAAAAGGCTTTTTCATTGCAGCTGTCGTTTTTTAAATTCAAATGGGACTGTTGTATTTTTGCTTGGGATGGACTTACAGAAAAATCTTTGTAAATATCACACACAGTTTCATGATGATTTTTTCACACAAGTAGGGTAACTAACAGATCAGGCTTTCGATTTAGGAAATTAAAATGTTTTGTGCCAAAAAGAAGAAAAGGCGTTTTTGTCAGCTTGCGCCAGAGAAATAGCTTCTATATTTGGTTCTAATAATATAATCGAACATTGTCTGTACTGTATTCTTGATATTGATGTTAATAGAAGTTATCCTTGGAACTTACCAGGTTACGTTGAATGTTCTAAAGCACTATGATTTAATCATTGCTTTTCTGGGTCATTTGTGGTTTATTATTTATCTGTTCCAAGGTAGGAATTATTTTGAAATATTTATGTATATTGTAGGGATGGGCAGGTACGGGTACCCAGTACGAGAACTCCCGGTTCTACCGGAGGAGGTGTCAGTACCGGCCCCAGGCCTCCGGTAATGGCCCTGGGAAGGAGCTGACACCAACGGTTTTTTACACGGCCACGGGAAGTGTGCTGTGTGTGTAGGCCTAGGCCTAGCAGCTGTAACTTCAGATGCACAATGCAGCGGGTGACTTTGATACATGACTTCAGATTCAACATTGACAATCAAAAAGGAAGTTTGCTTAAATTTAAATGTGGCATCAAATCAGTTCCCACGCGAGCCACTTTTCTTTTTCTGATATGCTTATTCCGAAAATGAAATCAATTTTTAGCGGCAATAATTATTAAAAAAATTCTGCATGCAAAGTTTAATCCCGCAGGGCGGCAAACTTCAAAGGTATTTTGTGCTACAGTTTGCCTCTCCAATTCTGACTTGGGGGGTGGGGGTGGCGCTGATTGTGGCATTAGACGCGAGATGCACAGTCTGTGACGTCACCTCCTGGTGTCACTCCCAGTACCAGTACTGGCGGTTCGAGAAAGTGCCGACCCTAGGTTTCGCCTGCACCGCCCAGCACTAGTATGTTGGACGAGGGATGTTCTCTATAGCTGTAATTACATTTTCTTAGGTGCTGAGTGATGAAGGCAGAAGGAGAGACTACGATGCTTTTGGAATGGCTGGACAGGGAGCGAGGCAACAGCCAGGAGGGTTCCGGTCACAGCAGCAAGGATTCCATGGTAAATTCACTCGGGTCTTTGAACGGTGTTTCAGTGCTCTGGACACGATACATACTGTCGGCCAGCTGTTCATGTGTACAAAGCCCTACATTTTGAAAGAAAAATATTATTATTTCGTTATTTTAAATCTCATGTCAGAAGAAACTTTACAGTGAAGCTCTATTTTTGAGTCAACAGATTTAAGATGAATTAGGGTGAAAGGTGAGCTCGATTGTCATGTTTTTGCAGTGTTTTATTTCTTCAATTATTTCGTGTATCTTGAATAATCTTTTCTTTCCATATCACTTTTGCGCACAGTAATTTTCTTTTTATTGTAGTGTGCCATGCCATTTTGATGTTTATTAACTTAGGTCACTTAAAATTGTTTTGCTTTGTGTTTTGACCTGCAGGGTTTGAGAACTTTCAGAGTCAAATGGACCCCGAGGAACTGTTCCGAAAAATATTTGGCAGTGCTGGTCTTGGCGGCTTTGGGTTTTCGAACCAGGATTTTGAGGGCTCCATGGATGGTTTTGCTCCTGCTTCAGAGGTAGAGTTGTCATGAGATTATTAATGCTTTGTTTAAAAATTGTACTCTCAGTGCTAAGCCTCTATGTGTTAGATTAAAGAAAGTACTGGTATAAAGATACAGGAGAATAAATCTGGTTTGTTCATTTTGCCATGTCTTTAAGTATGAAATCTTGAGGGATGCTAAGGTGGGTGTCTGTTCCTTCTACTTCTCTTCAGTCTCCATCTGATTACTAAAAAACGTGGCCATTAGCAGTAAACTGATTTGCCTTTATTTAACAATGCCAGTGAAAATTTAATTTTTCACTTTAGCCCTTTTTTATTTGGTACTTGCGAAAGAATTTTCAATTCTAAGAATTATGCTTCTTGAATTTTAAGAATCAGTTCATAAATAAAAAAGTTATGGGGTTGTAAAGGTCGGCAAAATATGGATGACCCACATATAGGAAAATACTCCTAAAAAGTGGACCACGCAGTAGCAGATTCTGTAAGAAAATCGACGATATCTCGGCAACTAATCAGAGTGTGAGAGAGAAACTTGGCTACCCAATGGGATTTTGGGTGTAGAAATCACTTCTGCAGTCAGATTTACTACCCATTTCGTAGTTATTTTGTTATAATTAAAATTTTGGTGAACATATTACGATTTTGCGAAAAGGGGTGTCGGGATGAGTCCATTTTATTTATAGCATCGTATCACAACATGGGATCTTTAAGAATATATGTCGGCAGCGTGACTAAATAATTGCAAAGCTTTTTATGATGACTTTAGACCATGCCAACCATAAAAGATAAGTTAATTCAATCTAGCATGCCGTACAAATATAAATTATTTTTCCCCGTTGAGACGCGAACACCCCGAGACGAGATAACCTCGCCTCGGAATACCCCCATTGCGATGTTACAGGGGAACAGAGAGAAAAACAACTGGATGCACGCGCCCGCCATTGCCCTATTTCAAGTGACCAATGAACAGGCCCAGAATAGTCATGCGGGGATTTGTAGGTCACATACATTTGCCGCGAGAGTGAGGGGGAAATGGCCAGTCTCCGTGCGAAGCCGCTTTGGATAGGGGGGTTTAGTCGTTCATTTATGATCGGATCTAAACAACTACTTGACACAGAACGTTCAAATTTGAGCACACCATAGAGGATAGATAGATCTATTACCATATCGGCGTTGAAATTCAAACTCCTTATAGTTTTTGGTGTACCTGATACGAAAGTGTTCCCGACACCAAAAGTATAGGTTAATTTATGAGTACGAACTTCAACGTCCACATATCATTAGTTTACCCTATTTTCTGATTGGTTGCCGAGTTTCATTCGGATTGGTTCGGAAATAGAGCAGACCGAGGTTGACAAAGTTAGTCACCTACGCTTCGGCCGGGTTCGCAAAATCACCCGCAAACGGGCACCAAATTTTCGCCGCGCCGGAAAGCCCGATTGGCATTGCTACTTTATTACTACTCTTTCACGACATCCTTTTGATTGAGAAGTGACTGATGGTGGAAGCATCACAGAGAGATGCACACTGTTGTGCTGTCATAACACGGTTTTCTCTGGAGGAAGAGACTTTGTCATGAGCTGTCTCATGTCTGTTGATGAGATTTACTAGGGAATATCCCTGCTAAATAAGAGGAGCTCCACTTTTATTTTCCCTCTTTTGTTTCAGTCTGTCTGGCTGTCTTACTTTTTCCCCAACTCCTAAGTGACCATTATTTTGTCGATGTGTTTCTCTTTACTCAAAGCAAACAAAAACAGATTCTTATCAAACTTTTTTTGTTTTTAATTTGTAAACCAGCTGATGATGGACCTGACCTTCCAAGAGGCTGCACGTGGAGTAAACAAAGAGATCACGCTGAATGTCAAAGACACGTGTCCAAAGTGCAATGGCAGTGGTGCTGAGCCGGGAAGCTCCCCTATAAGATGTCCAGCTTGTAACGGAACAGGAATGGTGAGGCTTCAGATTAAAGAGGACTCTTTCTTTGTTGTTTCACATCTGACAGTAAAGACTTTCTCTCTGAATATTTTCAGACTTTTTTGAGTTGAACCCTTTTTAAAAGGACAAAGTTCTAACATGAATTATCAGTTGAAACAAGTGACGTCAAGTTGAAATCTACTGGTAGTCCACAGATAATTCATAACTGGTATGTTTCTAAGTTATACATTTTTTTTGGTCATCAACATCAAGGTAACTGGACTTTATTTTTGTACCGAGGACTGTAAGTAGCTTTCGCTCATTTACGAGATGACACTTCTTCTTTTTTTCTGCATAGGAAACAATTTCCACGGGTCCATTTGTGATGCGGAGTACATGTCGACAGTGCCATGGGAGACGGGTCATCAACAAACATCCCTGCACTGAGTGCAATGGCAAGGGCAAGGTCGTAGCCCGCAAGCGCGTTGTGGTGCCTGTACCGGCAGGTAAGAGCATGCATCACATGTTTCCCTTAGATTGTCAAAGTAATATTGGAGATTTAACTCTTTGCAGGTGCAGGGTTAGAGACAGCTGCATTCGCTGGTGACGCATGAATTTTAGCTTTTTTTAGGGGCAGATAAAAACATTACTTTTAGAGATAGAACAAAGCGTTTTTCTGTTATAAAAACTAGAGCAATAGAATTTTTAAAGTAAAAGCATTATTTAGCTAATAAAAACAATAGCTTTGATGCAGTTTATTGAAGAAAAAGTGGTCCATCAGACCGCCACAAAAACAAACAAAAATTCCTCCACGCATAAGTAGACCTACCTCTTCCTCATCATCTAGATCAGGAGAACCACTGTCTGCTATAGAACTACAAGCTTCACTTTCTAAATTAACAACTACCCCATCTTCCATCACAATTTCAAGCACATGGAAAACCGTTAGACTTCTCCTGGACTCTGCTATTTTATGTTGTACTTTCGATTACTCAATGCACTTATCACTTGAACAAAAACGCTTCGTCAGTTTGACTATAATTAGTCAAAGGTCAAAGTGTTATAAACATATAAAACGGCTAAACTTTTATTTCCCTAGTTGTCAAATTTGTATCACTTAAGATGTGTACCATAGGAATCTTTAAAATTCGTCGGACGCATTTCAACGCGTCGGCAATGCGTTAAAAAATCTACTTAAAATGAGTTGCACAATGCTTTTTTTTAGGTCTTGTTTTTTTTCACCGAAAAAGTTCCTTTGCATATGTGAAAAATCGTTCAGTTAACTGTGGTTAACTTGTTTTCTGTCAACTTTCCATTTAATATTAGTTCTAAAATTATGAGGTTTATTATCACATCTTTGACAAGCATGCCACTTGCGTCGAAAAGTTAACTCAGATTGCATGTTGCTGAGATTAGTCAAGGGTTCTGGAAGTTTGGGGATTGAAAAGTTTTGAGTCTCAACGGATGAAATGTTATCAAATTTTTTCCTTTGGCAAGTTGAACGAAACGTCTCTAATTTTAATCGCGCTATGCCCGTGGTTTCTTGATGGGACTAAAGCTTTTGTGATTTTTAATGTTTTAATTTTTTAATACCTCTATAATCGACTTTGTCAGTTTGGAAAGTTAAATAATCTAGAACCCTCCGGGGCGGTGCTACCGACTGGAGTGTCTTTAGGCCATTCCCAAAGGGGATGACATTAACATTTCAAGTTCTTATGCACAGTAGAATTGTAATTGTAAATGGGCTGATTCATCAATGTCTTGCTCATAACTGTGCCTGAACTGCAACAGGGAACTGCTGCTTTTTCTTTCCTAATCCTTACTATCGTTATTTTTGCCTCTGCTTCTTGTGACCCGCTATTTCCAGGGTGCCTTGATAGTCGAAGCAGACTTTGTGCTTTTGAAGCGAGCGACATGAGCAGAGTAAGTCTGATTCTCTGTAAGAACTTCTCTATTGACATCCAACCCTTGGCGCTTATATGACTTTTTATGCAGTTGCGAGCACCGTAAAACCTCTACCAAAACTTAAAACTAAATCATCCCATTTATTTTGCAGGCGTAGAGAACGGACAGACTGTGCGCATGCCAGTGGGCAGTCAGGAGGTCTTCATAACGTTTAAGGTGAGTTCAGGCCTCTATAGCAAGGGCATTCTGAATGGACTACATGGCGAACATATCCAACATGAATAAATCCCATACTATGCTCTGTTTGTTTTCCTTTGTATTGGTTGTTTTCAACTAGGAGAATTTCATAAAATCTATTTCTTACAGAGCTCCGTTGCTTTAGGTGAAGAACAGAACATTTCTTCTGCATTTTTTAGGAATAATTTTTTTTACTGTAGAGAAGCTGGGTTTTTTTCGTTACTTTTAATTATTTCCATTATTTTCACCGAAATCCTGTAAAAAGAACAGTTAATAATCTCAGCTTTTTTTGTTTTTTGTTCAAACCCATGTGAGTTATGTCTATTGACTCACTGAGCCCTGATCCCGAACGTAGGCAGGGTCGGGTTTTTACATTTTTTTCAAAGAGGACCATTTAATCTAATAATGTGATATAATTCTTTTATGAAGCTTCAGATTAATCATTTTCCTAACTTTTACCCAGTCCGCACGCCGTGTTTTACTATCGTATCCATACGACGTGCCACCACTTTCAACGAGGAAATTTACTTGTTAATCCGGTCTGTAGGCCTTGCATAGCAGTCGGTCAAAATGATTTTTTTGGAAATACTGAAAGTTTCAGAGATCTTCGTACTAGAAGTATTCTAAAATGAGAAGAATACAACCCTTGAGATACAAAATGACCCCAAGGCATATGAATAGGGTTAAATGAAGATTTTTTAAATAACAGGGCTTCCGGTCTTTCGCAAAATTTCCGCAAATTAGCAGAATTCCGCAAATGGAAAAATTTCTGTGAAAATTCGTGCCAAAAAAAATACTTTAAAAAAAATATTTTTAAAAATGCGAAATAAAAAAATGTCCGTTATTACCAATAGTCAACAATAACCAACCCATACCGGAAGTGCTATTTTATTTGAAAGTGTAGAGTGTCTTTCACTTTCACTTTCTAAAGCTCAAGAAGCAGAGCACCAGCTGTGTAAACAAGAGGAAAAAATGATGATTGTGATTCAATAGATCTTGGGCCTGCCAAGAAAAGAAAACTCAAAAGACAGCTTTATTTTTTTTACCAGACTTGTTTATTTGTAAGTTTTGTTGTTGATTTAAGTTGAATAAGCTGTCAAGTTATTTAGATCTAGACTAGAATCTAGAGATATAAGATCTAGATCAAGTCAAGCTGTTATACTATTATTATAAGGATTCTACACCTTATGATGATTATGGTGCAAACCAACACTAGCAGAAAAAGGTTGAACATTAACTGTCAAGTTTGATAGATCTAGTTGTGGATGTACAGTACATGGCTTTGGATTTGGAAATATATGGATTAACACAAGCAGAAAATTATGTAGGCCTATGCAAAGTATGTTTTTTTTCTCACTTATTTTCTGTCAAATTTAGGCTTGAATAGCCAGAAATGGCATACTTAGGATGCCTTGAAACCAAAAATTCTCAAACATAAAGGGGACGCTGTCCCCCTTCAACCCCCTGCCAGGGCTCCGAAAATCTTTGAAAAATGACATCAGCTGCTGGAAAAGCTCTAAAATAAGGAAGTATTTAGATGAAAAACTACTTTCACTGTGGTGGCCCTGTAGAGGCCTAAAATTATGTTATTCTTCTTCCCTTGTTGTCATTAACACCCCCCCCCCCCAAACCCAGATCTAGGGGTGTTAGAGAGCTTTGCAAGCTAGTATCGTACTAAAAAAAGGTAATTGGAAAATATGGAGATCTAGATCTAGTCCTCATATTTTTGTTACAATAATTTATTTTTGATGTTGTTTTCTGAAACGAGAAATATTTTCCAAAGTTTGAAAATTGTGGGGTACTTACCGTACTTTAATAATATGTGGGGAAAAAAGTTTCAAAGATAATTTAAGAAATGTAGTATAAAGAGGAGGAATGTATCATTACATAAGCCAAAAAATTAAGTCAAAAGCTCTATTTTTACATTCCTGAAAATTGTTTGAAAAGTGTGAAAATTGCCTGTATTGGGGACTGGCCAGAGTTCAGTGAGTTGAAATAGTTCAATGTCTTTCTGTTTGCAAATACAACTTGGTAAATTTGTTACAGCTACTGTGCTCCCTCTAGGGGTCATGGTCAGGCTGGTCTTTCTTTTCCTCTGGTAGCTGTCTTTTGATAAAGTCTAAGCATCTTTCTTTGCAACTGGATCATTTTGTGGGTGGTTGGTGGGTGCACTGGTGTGGTTTGCTTCTTCTTTCCTATCAAACGTCTATAGTCTTCATCTCCCCTTCTTCTTTTTTTATGTTTGTTTCTCTCTTGTAACACCTCTAATCTTCTGGAGCTCATATGACCTTATGCAGTTGCGAGCGCCGTAAAACCTCTACTAAAACTATACCTAAGAAAAACTGGATTGTATATACTGGTTCTGACATTGGAAATATTCTATTCCTCCAGGTTGCCAAGAGTCGGATATTTCGCAGGGAGGGAGCCGATGTTCACAGTGATGTTACTATCAGCTTGGGTCAGGCCATCCTCGGAGGCTCCATAAGAATACCTGGTATCTACGACGACATACTCTTAAGTGTAAGTTCTCTGCTCTGTGACCTGCAAGTGGGTTGTTCGTTTAAAAAAAATGCTTTTATGGAGGTTTTCAGTTGCATATTTGATGTTGTTCACATCTCATATTTTTCTCAACATTGACACTGTCATAATGTGTTTGGAGGTTTCATGAACTGTTCTACACTTTCCTGTGTGCATCTTGTCTTCTCATCAGCATTTTGTCTTGATGTAATCCTGCAGCGGGTGGTTGGAGGGCACCACTGGTAGGTCCTACTTCTGCTCGTTCCCATTGTTGTTTCTGTCTATCTGTCTTGCTTCTTCCCTGCACTCTGTGACTGTTATTCATCTAAAAACAAAAGGTTATACCTTAGGAAGGAAAAGATGCTTTTAGATTACATCTATCTGAAACCACTGCAGTTGTGAGGCTCTTCCTGTGCCATTATGGCCCTCTGTAAGCATCACTAGCCACGATGCATACAGCTAATAGAGACAAGTTTTTCCTGGTTACAAATGTGCAAGGTTTGTTTTGTTTTATTAAAAGTCTGTGTTTTTGCTTTTTTTTATTTTGTTAGATTCCTGAAGGCACTTCCTCACACGCTCGCATTCGCCTGGCTAGCAAAGGAATCAGTCGAGTGAACAGCTATGGTTATGGAGATCATTACGTTCACGTCAAGATTAAAGTGCCTGTGTAAGTATATTAACTGAGGGTGAAACTTTAAAAAGAACAATTTAAAGTTCTTGAAACCCGGGGTGTTTTTCCTTTGCTTAATTAACTTCGAACGCTTATGGTCCTTCCCTCTATTTGTGTGATGGCAATATGATGTTTTGTTCAGTTTACCATTCAGAGTATGGAGTTATGGTTATGCGTTTCGCAGCTGCATGCTGAAGATATGAGTTTTCCTCAAGTCGGGAAGTTGTTTTATTTGAATAATTATGTCTGCGAGGATATTGTATCCTTTTCAGCCTTGGTTGGCCAGGATCGGTAGGGCCAATGCATTCTATCCCTAAATGATCTAAATTGTGTTGAAGCATGTCTTCGTCTAGTGATTGGCTGGTTTCCGAAAGATTATTTTTCTTTAGTTCAGTAGTTCCAGAACCAGATCAAATTTACAGGGAAAATCTTAAAGTTGAGGGAAAAAGTGTTATAAACATGTAGAATTGTGATGCACCATTATGCTAACACCAGTTCTGATGGTTATTTTGTAAAAGTATCCCTTCTACAGGTATGAAGAATTTGAGATGTTAGACTTGGATTGAGTCACTGAGGTATTGTTGAAGTTTGAAGCACCCTGGGACAACTGAAGAGTAATAATTATTGCCATGTCTCTCTGAACAGGAAATTGACGGATGACCAAAAGTTGCTGGTCCAGGCCTTTGCTGAGTTAGAAAAAGGGACAGAGGGAACCATCAATGGAATGGCGCAGACTAAAGAAGGTTTGTAAATTTAGAACGTGGACAGATTTGGTTGGTTTTAAGGTTAAGCTTATGTAAAGATTCTATGGTAGGTGGTGAGATTGTGTGTGTGTTATGGTCCTCATCTTCTGGGCTCTTGTGTTCTTGATTATGTTCAGGGAATGCTGTACTGAGCTAGATATTAATCTGAGTGAGAGTGGCATTGTAAATATTTTGACATAGGATATCTCGTCCAACTTTGCATTTGCAGTTTATTTTAAATTTGAAGTGAAATAAATCGAGAAGAAAATTGGGACTCTGTTATTGTTTCATAAGTAGTGTTGTAGATGGATATATGGCTTGCCATAGCGATTAAGGCACTTTTGCTGCTTGAGTTAAAGAAAATATGTTTGAAGTATTTTATTCATCAAGTCAGTATTGTTTTGAGTATAAAAAAAAGAGTTAGTATATTGGCCTCAAAATGCTTGATTACTGCCGATGTTGTAACAGATAATGAATGTGATGTTGAAATGCCTCACCTTCATAATATATGCAGCTTATACATACAGCGTAGGGTATTGTCAGGACAGACATAAATAAGGAATTAAAAAACAAAACAAGAAAACCCCCAGCAAACCCACAAGAAATTACTAAGGCTCAGCAAAGAGCCAAGATTTATAACAAAGGCTTTTCCTTTGTGAAAGTTTCCCCCTTATTAGCCAGTAGCCACCCACATAACCTGAGACCGTCCCGTTATGTATTTTCAGGTGGGAAGGACTCCGGGGAGCGAGTGATGGGGGAGACTGTGCCAGACGAAGAGGAGGAGGGATTTTTCTCCAGGATGAAACGCAAAATTTTTGGCTAAACCACAGAGTAGGAATAATTGCTTTGGCATAAGATTATTTATAGAACTCTCTGTCAGTCACTTTTTGCGAGGCGTATGACTGTTAATCTCCAGACTTGAAAGGACAGCCCCTTATCTTTGTCAGGAAGAAGTTGCTTTGATAGCATTTTGAGGTCATTAAAATCCCCACTAGTTATGGACTCAAAAAAAAAGAACTAGTACTCATTTTTACAAAAGTCCCATATTCTTTGAAATTGATCTAGATTTTAGATATGCTCCCAACACATGGTAACGTAGGAGTTTGCATAATGAGTAAATTCAGAGGGCTACATTTAGTTGATGATTCAGTTGTAATGTTTTAATGGGATAGTGGAGGATATTGCCAAGGAAGTTGAAGTTTGTATTACATTTACTTGGGTTGGTGTGTATTCTATGTGGTTACTATTTTAACAACAGGGTTACGAGCCATTGACGATCCGAGTGGAAAATTGAAGAACATCAGAGAAGCCCTTGCCTCGGCCAAACCAGCTCCATCGATCGAACTGCCCGCTCCAGAAGAACCTGTGTTGGCTGAAGCTCCTGCTGCGTCCGGGGAATCATCCGCTGCGTCTGGGGAATCATCCACTGCATCTGGGGAATCGTCCGCTGCGTCTGGGGAATCGCCTGCTGGATCTGTGTCTGAGGATTCGGATTCTGATGATAACAATCACGCAGTGGGCAAAAGTACGTGAGGTTCTCCGTCCGGCTCTGCTGATTGGAGATGGTATCATACGCTGGAGCAGGGACATTGGCATTTTTCATTCACCGGTTTCCTTTTACAATCATAAAGAAATGACATGAGACATATTTGCGCATAGTGTGGTCTAAGTTCAACTTCCCAGTTTCTTTTGGCTGTGGCATGTGTTCAACTTTTGTCAAGTTTTTTTTCCCACTGAACTGTTTAATATATTGCTCGGAGATAAATAGATCAGATCAGCACAACTGGATCATTTGAATATGGTGCATTTTCTTTTACAGTTGAGAAAGCATGATTGTCTGTATATGCCATCCAATAATGTGATAACTCATACTTTGAGATATTTTTATTGTTGTTCTGATTGTACTCGCATTTTATGCCTGCCTTAAGATTTCACACCGTGTAATGTTGTCCCTGAAAAAATAATTAATTAAACGGGAGTTACAGTGAATGGAATATTTGTGCCTACTTGGGTGTGACATTTTGTTTTGCCATAAAAAAAAGGCAAACATTATGTTTGTGTATTGTTTGTGCATGTGTGCGTATGTGTTTTGGGGAAAAAGAGACAGACAGACAGACAAAGGAAAATCCTGTTGGATTACCGTGTGTGTGTGTGTTCTTTTTCTTTCTTAAGTTCTAAGGAAGGGAACCAGGCTTTTATTTGGACTGTTTTCACTTGAGATAGGAATATTAGAATGGTTTTCTATCCTTCAAAGAGTCTATAGATTGTTACTAAGCACTTGATGAAGCCATGAGTTTTGTTTCATTTGCCAGCCAAAAAGTTGACAGAATTGGTGGTGGTTTGATGTCATAGATTCGGTTGCTTTGAGCGACGTGGACCTGTTTCTGTGACACAGTAAAAAGTTAAAATGTGGGTGGTTAGTGGGTGCTCTGGTGTGGTTTGCTCCTTCTTTCCTATCAAACTTCTGTCGTCTTTATCTCTCCTTCTCCTTTTGTGTGTTTTTTTTACACTCTTGTAACACCTCTAATCTTCAGCACTTACATAACCACAAAATGTTGCAAGTGCTGTAAAACTCTTCCTAAAACTAAAAAGTAAGAATCATTTTTAACTCATAGAAAGTCTCTTACAAAGCTTGGTGACCAGTGAGAGGTAAATAGATACAATAAAATGAAGTGGTATCTACCGTTATTCTCAAAGAAGATGTAAAATTCTGCAGAAATATTTAAGATTTAAAGTCTGCCACTGTTCAATTGTACTATTAGTATACATTATGTGTGTGTATTTATTTACATATATGTATAAAAATTATGAATGATTTTGTCTTCCCCATTCTACATTTGACCTTCATTCATTGATATGCTTTCATGCAGTCCAAAAAAAAATCAAATTGTTTCTATTATCTTGTTGTGCTCAGGTGTTGGCACTGAAAAAGATCAGTGCCAATATCCTAGTCCCAGTGTAAGTTGAATCAATTTCATGGTAATTGTATGGTCATATTTTTTTATATTTTTTTTTTAAAAAATAGTATAACTGGGGTTATCAGACTATATCTTTGGTGTGGGCCAGATAGGCTACATGCTGGGAAAAACAGTTTGGAAAATATGTTTGTACTTTTGATCTTTTGTTGCTTTGTGATTCCTATCATAGTATGGTCATGTGAAGGGCACTTGGGTTATTTATTGTTTTTCATTCTCCTTATCAGGTGACATCATGTGGGGCAAGTTTTCACCAGTTATTCATTTTAATTTGGGGAGTTTATTTTTGAATTAATTAACCTTTATTCCTATATAGGCAGAACTCATTTCTTTTTATTCACTTTGTGGAAGCAGAGTTTGAGGTGATGTTCCTTCCTTATTACTTCAGCCTTCCCTCCTTGTAGGGAGCTCTATGCTTTGTAAAAGTAAAGTTGTTCCCGCGTCTGATCCGGAAATTGGGGATTGCATTGTTAGTGAGACAACTTCCTGGGCCTTCGGCATATTGTGGTAGGGTGGCCAGTTCGTTTCCACACAGCCTTTGTACCAAAAGATAAAGTTGTCGAAATAACTGGTGTCTGGATGGAAAGACGGTTCGGCTCATTGTGAGAGAGTGAATAAGGACTATAATTATATATTAAATTTTACTGTAACCATTAGGACTACATCCATCTGCGTCGGTAAATATCTCCACAACTGTTTATGTTAATTTTTAATATTATAGAAACATGTTGAAGAATATTTAAGAAACTTATTTTCCGTACTGTAAATTACACTGTAATGTGTTTTTGTTTTTCTTTCTACATAACACCAGGTTAGCTAATAATACATATTTGGCTAAAAATATCTGTCTTCAGTTTAGTCTAGTTTCCTCCGATGGCTAAAGTTTTTTTCACTGCAATATGTGGGATCTTAACAACCAGGAGCATTCAGAGATAAGCAACTTGTATTTTTTCACAAGAACATAATTTGTTGCCTCTAGTGTAGATTTTTGTACAATACATGTGAATAGATATCCCTTCATTACTTCATTGAATGTGATATCACCCTTTGTGTTTGATGATGCTTTCAGAGCAAGAAGTACCGGAAATAAAGAAATATGAAAAATACTTTTTTTTGTTTGTTTGTTTTCTTTTACTTGCATTGAAAGCTGCCAGTGACTATTTTTCTGCAGGCTTTACTTCCAAAGTAGAGCTGCACCATTGGTCTTGAGAACCCCGGCCCCCAAAGAACACATCACACCTTTGCCTTTATTACTTTATTGATAAAGCTACATTTGTTGTAATAAGTCGTAAAGCTAGAACTGATTACAAAATTGCTCTTCTATGTCACAAACACATAAACAACAAAGCACCACAATATATCGTAAAGTTAAAGAGTCATATATATATGTCACCAAGACGTATTTTGAGATCTGCAGATGAGAATCTCATGAGAGTATCCACTGTTCCTAAAACTTAAATTTGGAATTCCCTTCCAAAAGAAATGGGTCTTTTATTATTAAAAAGAGAGAGTTGAAGAAAAGTCTAAAGACACATCTATTGTTCAACACTATCCTCTGCTTGTAATTTTGTGTGAGAACATATGTGGGTCTGGGAGTTGTGTGTGTGTGAGTGTGTGTGTGTGTGTGTGTGTGTGTGTGTGTGAATCATGGTCTCTAGATTATTGTCAGTGGTGTCCTTACTTGTTTTGGTGTGTGGGTGGTTGGTGGGTACTCTGGTGTGGTTTGCTTCTTCTTTCCCATCTAACATCCATCTTTCTTAGCTATCCTCCTTTTGTTTTTTGTGTTGGTTACTCTCTTGTTACACCTCTAATCTTTGGCATTTAGATGACCTAAAGTAAATTAAGTAAATGTAAAAGCAGCAAATCCTAGTTGTAATCTCATTAGCAAAGGTGAAAAGATCAAACAAGTCCAACAATTTAAATATCTAGGATATATGATAACATCTGATGCCAAATGTTCGATAGAAATAAAAAGGAGAACTACAATGGCTAAGGCTAGTTTCAATAAAATGAGTCCAATCCTGAAAAACAGAAACATCTCAATGAACACCAAAATGAAAGTCCTGAAATGCTGTTTGGTCAACCCTTCTATATATGGCTGTGAGTACTGGACAATCACTAAAGACTGAAAATAAAATAGAAGCAACAGAAATGTGGTTTCTTAGGAGACTGCTAAGAGTATTTTTGGCTAAAACAGCACCTGGACATGGATGGCTGGTGCCTCTATAAATAAATCATTGATGGTCTGGCTAAGAGTATCGTGTAAGGAAAAGAAATCAAATGAGGTAGTGCTTGACTTGATGAAGCCCATGTGGGACGCTCAATGTTAAAAACAATCTGGAAACGACAAATGCAGTTTTTGGGACACCTGAATAGACATAAGGGTCTTGAACATCTAGCTCTCACTGGCAAAATTGAGGGCAAGCCAGGCAGGGGTAGGCCCAGAACAACATACTCAGGGAACCTAAACAAATGGGTAACAGGGAAAGATTAGCGAAACGTAGCTTTTTTGAGAGCCTCCGAGCTAAGGAATGAATGGAAAACCATGATCGCCATTGTCTGTCGCAGATCTGGCTCCGGATGATGAAAGTAAATGTGCTGCAAATACTCTAAAATGCTTACGAAACATTCTTTTGGTGGGTCTCTGTTTTATTTGCTCAGGAATAAAAAAAAGCCTTTTCTAAACTGTTGTGCTTCTATTATATTTGACTGAAGTACACTGAAACCTCGTTGTACCACCAGCCCCGCTTACCGCCGGGTTTTTCCAATGCTTAAAAAGGAACGCCTATATTTGTCCCCGTGGTTTTATGCACCCCACATAATTTAGCAAAATTTGATCATTTTTTGCATAATTTCTGATTATTTTCCTTTATCATTCTTTGTTAACATTAACAGAATGGCATAATTTCATTTTTCTTGCGTAAAACGACGGGGACAGCTATATATATTACAGTATTTTGGCGTTCAAACCGCCTTTCACCAACTGAGTTTTATGGTCCAAATTTAACAAAAGCAAATTTACCCGGCCATATCTGGTGACCACCAGCAAACTGACTGCCAGAAGTACACCCTGCTCGCAACACCCATTGATTAGCTACTTGATAATCTTTCTCCCATGAGAAAGACACAGGAATAGGGAGAGAGAAGACTCTCGGTTCTGAATACATGTACAGTGCTTGTTCATCACCAAGAAAAAGACACGTTTCAAATACAAATTGCGCTGCAGAATCCTGTTCCTTTACGTTTGGCATTTGGGGCTATACAACAAAGGAAGGAAGCTCTCATGGTCCAGAGGTTACGCCGTTCACCTCTAATCCAACAGCTCCCAGGTTACAAACCTAACAGCGATGGAAAACTTTCTTCTCGAATATTTTCTCCTTTCATGCTCTCTTACCATATTCTGTCGTCTGCTTTCGTCTTCTCCTTCTATCCCTTTCCCTCCACCTCTGAGCTCACGACTCTTTCTACAGCCTTTCTACTGCTTGGCTCCTTCTTACTGTTGTCTTTCAACTACACCCCTGACCTCATGGTAGGTAAGATCTAACACCTTACCTTCTCGGATAATGGTGAAAAATCTTGGAGGTCCCGTGTGCAAGTTGTGCGCGTTAAAGACCCCTTGGTGGTCCCAAAACCTATACAAGTAGGCTTTGGCCGCCACCTGGGCAAAAATTAAAGATTCTTACAAAACTGAAAATGTTTAATGGGTCTCACGGGCTCGTATGACCTTAAGCAGTTGCGAGCGCCGTAAAACACACACCAAAACAAAACAGAAGAGGAACCCCGTTGAACCGCCAGCTCCCAGCTCCGCTGTTCTGCAAACTTCAGGCCTGTCCACAGGGTGGCGGTAACAGGGTTTTATAGTACAGTTGACTACAAATGTGCTGAACTCGCCTGAGTTGACCCTTTTCTTGGGTCCAAGCACAGGTCTTAATGGTTAAGTTAAAACTTCGAATGAGCTGATCTTTTTTCACTCCCCCACGACATCAAATCATTTCATCCGTTGTCGACTGCAAGTCATTTTTCTTTCTCTTATACTTATTGTATCTAAGAGCTATGTAGTTTTCAGTTCAAATTCTCTCAGAATCAAGACATTTGTTCTTTATTTATAGCACCTTTAGTAGCTTTCCATAGCATTTTAGTTGTAATCAATCTTTTTGTTAGTCTAGCTTTATATCAATGACTCACATCAATAGGCAGCCAGTTGAAAGTTAGTTGGTGATCTGGTAAGGTTTGCTCCTTTCCTATTAATCATCTGTTGTCTTTATCCCTCCTCCTTTTCTTAGTACCGGTATCTTTCCAGGTTGGGAACACCTCAACTAATCTTCAGCGTTTATATGACCTATTTGAGTTGAAAGTACCATAAAACTTTTACTAAAACTACAAAATAGGCAACTGTGGGGAATATCAATGCTCATGAAAAGAAAAATTCATTTGTACTTTGCTTACGATTTTTCAGTTGACTTAATGTTTCCCTGTTGCAAAAAATATTTTTATTTAAGTTTAAGCCCAAATATCCATTTTTTCCCCCAACATTTTCCACCGATTTATTTCCACTAGTTCTCTTTTAGCTAGTAGCTAGTAGCTAGTAGTTGACAAACAAAAGCTTGCTTTGCAAAATCTTCTGAAAGGGAAAATCTCTCGGCGTGAAGAACACACAAATTTGATTTCCAGTCAAGAGAATTTTTATCGAGTATCTGGTCTTTCTGCTGGGTTGTTGTATCCCTCTCAGCCCGCCAAGTTTGGCCCTGAGACAGGCAGGATTGAAAACCAGATCCTGACTGAATGATCTAAATTGTGTCGATGGGAGACTTAATATTAAAAACACCTTAAAAAAAAGCTGTAGAGAATTCTCCATTTCTATAGAAAATGGTATAATAATAAATAAATAACAAAATAACTCTGCACAAGTCTTATAAATTCATAGTTGATTTTTTTACGCTTTTACTTTAAAAGCAGAACAAACTGGAAATGCACAATATTCAACACCAATGGCACATCTTATGTACAGTCAATGCATACACCAAAGCGCTCTACACACTCACTACAGCTGAGGCACAGGCATGCGTGAACTCCACCACACTGGCATTCTGTCTCCCTCCAGCCCCATCATACTACCCCCTAGTACAATCTCACAATCACAAGCAGATGTACGCGAGCAGGTAATCATTACACGACAGCAATATATCGAAGAACAAACATGAAAGTAAATCTCATAGTATTGGGGAAAACACACATCCTTGAGTACCAGTCATCACTACATAAGTCTGTTCCTATCATGTGAATCACACTGTCAAGCTTGCACATTGGATTGTTGCAGAAAATAGTAAGTTAAGAAAATTATAATTATAAAAAAGCACAACGGAAGGGGAAAACCAAAAGGGTTCTTTCCTTAAAAAGAACCAGAAAATTTCCCAAATATTTTCACATCTAGGACATTCAAAATGTAACACTAGACATAGGAAACAAGTCAGGACATTTATCGCACTAGAGAGCGTACGGTACTCATTCTCTTGTAGGATTCTACAAAACTAGAGATAAGATTGATAATAAATTATTAGACTTTGTATAATGTCATTGAGTCCACTCAAGTGGGGGGGGGGGGGGGGGGGGGGGGGGGGGAGAAGCTACCAAAACTTTGTATTCACAGTAGTCTACCCTCTGTGGCACTATATGTCAATCAGTGCACAGACCTACAGAGGGGGGGAGGAGGGGGAGAAGAAATGTCCACATTGTCGGCCCAGGGTCTAAGTGTTCCAAGCCGACAAGAATACACTTTACTACAGACTTACCAGTCTGGGCTACTTAATCATCGCAAAACCACATTTACAGTGACACATTTCATACATTGTGAAAATAATACCAATAAATAAAACTTTATCTGAATGATCATCATAAAAATAATAATAATAACAGTAATAATACATAATTGTAAAAAACACAGACAAATCATTTTGGAACAGGAACGAACAGCTGCTCAGTGTGAGAGGAAGCCATCTTCTCTCAGTCAAGTGATAGGCAAATAGGGAGTCTACTACTAAAAGGAGGCTAAGGATGGAAGGTAATATATTATAATGTTATTTTAAATGACAACCAATTGGCGACATATTTTTCAAAGATTGATATTGGGATACCTCACAAACTTCTTTTCGCAAAATGGAAGATACCTGAATTTATTGGCTAAACTATCAGAAAGACCGTACAGTTCCTCTGCACTGAGGGGTGTCAGTATCTGACAGTTATCCGAATCAGTTTCTGTAGAGATATGAATCACAATACACTGTATCCTTTTTTTTCCACACATGGTTTACATTTTACACATTTTATGTTAAACATTTTAAAAAAAATGAAAATAAAAAAATCAAATAATGAACAAGACATTACAACTTATTGATGAGATTTTTTTTCATATATATATAAATTTTTGTTTTGTGGAGGCATGCATAATTTAGTTACTACAAAAATTACATTAGTAAGAACCACACCTAAAAGAACAATCAGTCTCTATTTACTCCGCACATCTAATTCTCTCATCCTTCCAAAGCCAGAGAAGCTCGTTGGAGGACGAGGAAAGCTACTTCACTAAAAGAGTGCAGCACATGATGGCAGGAGAAAATAACTGCTTCTCTCACTGAGCTGCCTGGATTGCTGATCACAGTGGAAAAACACACCTCACACAGATCATCAGACATCAAGCACAACCCCTCCACTCACGCCATCTGAAAACACCAATACCCGTCAACCATGCACAGAATAATAGCCATGCCACCTATTCATCACTGATAGTCAAACAACTCGGAGGTGACTTAAGTTTTCAAAGGTGTGCAAACTATCAACACACAGTGGCTACTCGGTGTAAGATCTCCCGTCAAATGTCACTTTTAAAAGTGGAGTCTTACGCCAAGCAGTTGACATGTAGTGTTGTAATGCGGACTAAAGCTAAAACCTGATAAGTACAACAAAGAATGCGTTTCATTTCTCATTCCCCTAAAAAAGTACGATCGCTAATGGAAACTGACAAAATTAAAACTTTCGGCCCTTTCTAAAAATCTGCCTCATGATCCACAAGGGCCCAATCAGACTTTGTGAACAAGCTAAAACTCTCAGTTTCTGCTGCTAGAGAAACCCGTCTGCACCTTATTTTTTAAGTAGTAAAATACTGCAGTGGAAGGCCTTCACCTTTGGCACAATTATTTTAGGCTATGTCAGAGAGACACTCCATGTTATACCACAGTGTGGACAAAGAAACATTTCCATCCGAAGTGAAACTTAAAAGCAGGGACTTTGAATTAAAGAGGAGCCCATCAACATGGTAATTGTCATTGGGTGCTGGGGAAATAAACACAGGCACAGAGATCTTGGAGAGGAAAGAAGTTGAACCCACGAGTGGTGCCCCCTGACCACCCAGCAATCACCCGAGGAGGAAATATCAAAATACAATCATAATAACTTAACATACATACCACCAATATCCATCATTCCATGATTGTCATTCTTTCCTCAAATAAGAGAAGGTAATAACATGTCTACCAAAATGACAATGCACAAAATCTAAAGTCAAAGATTGTGAGAGAAAACAGCTAAGCACATACAGGTACCGAGAGCTGAATGGGCATTGGACTGAACAGAGGAACACCTTTCTTTTTATCTTTTAGTAAGAGGTTTACAGCACTTGTAAAGCAATTAGGACAAATTATATAAGTGCTGAAAATAACAGTTGTTACAAGAGAGTAACAAATACAAAAAAGAAGAAATAAAGACGACAGATGTTTGATAGGAAAGAAATGGCAAACATACTACATCAGAGCACCCGCCAGTCACCCACATTCTTCCTTTAGTCATGTGAAATGTGAATATCACAGAGTTCAATAAGAAAGGTAATGGTATAACGCACAGTGAATGTTGTGAGACAAAAAGCATGGCAAAGTGTCGGAGCTCATTCTCCCCCTTGAAGAGGTCATCAGATTCCTTCTATAGTAAACACTCACCACTGCCTGTCCAAGTTCTCCAACTAAAAACAATCAATACTAAATTTTCACGTGACAAACAAAGTGATATTTTCTTTTTCTTTCATTTCTGTTTGTGTACTGATTACATTAGAAATGACACATGTGTGATTACTGTTGTTGTCACTTGGGACACATTCCCTCTCCCCTTCAACATACGACATAAACAAACCCTCCAGAAATATAAATAAGCTATAAAAAAATTACACACACACACACACATATCAGATAATTTGGAAATAAAAATAAAACAACAACACCAAAAAAGTTTTCTTAATACTGAAAGTCCACACCACAGATATTCTCTTTCTCTTTCTCCCAGTGCGCAGTGATTTCCAGTTGAACAAGTCAGAAAATGTGAGCCACCAGTTCTGTAGTTGGGTCTTCTGACTGCTTGAGTACAGTCTGCTAAATGACCTACTGTTCTGAGGACATTCTTAGCCTGACAGAAGGGAATACATTGTCGGACAGCTGTTCAAATGTACTAAGCCAAGAGTAAATTTCAAATTTTTTTTCCATTGCACTTTCTTAATTTGTGGTATTTGTTGTATGCGCTCTAAAACTATTTCGTCGAAATTCAAATTCTAAATGTTGGAAAAAAAAGCAAGAACAAATACATAATGCAGGTACAAAACAATTGTTAAAAGAGTGAAAGTTCTTTTCTCTCCTGAAAAATGTTCCTTTCTGGGCTCAGTACATTTTAACAGCTTGCCAACGATACACAGCTAGGTGTGTGAGAGTGTGGGCAGAGATGATGAATCCATCGTCACTTTAGCTTGCGTCAGAATCATAGAGCTCTCCCTCACTCTCCATACTGTCCATGTCCGGTGTGTCCTCGTCCAGCGTGTCACCGGTCAGCGCGACGCGCGCGTAGTCGTCCGTGTCGATGGACTTGCAGAAGTGCACGGCGTACTTGAGCTTCTCTCTCAGCACAGAGCGGCATGAGTAGCGTGGCATCTTGAGCAGGAAGAAACACGTGTAGCTCTCGGGGAGGAAGTCGTCGGGCGGGTTGTATTTGTCCAGAACCTGCCAGGAGAATCAAATTTGTTTTAGTAGAGGTTTTACAGCGCTCGCAACTGCATTAGATCATATGAGCGCCAGAAGATTAGAGGTGCTACAAGAGAGTAACAAACATAAAAAAGAAGGAGGGGTGATAAGGACGATAGATGTTCGATAGGAAAAAAGAAGCAAACCACACCAGAGCACCCGCCAACCACCCACCAGGAGAATCAAAGAGAATGTTCATCATTTACTATCTAAAGACAAAGCATACACACATGTTCAATCAGCAGAAGACCAAAGGAACATTCAGAACCATCATTCACAATTTTAAACACAAATTTGAATACTTCATAGTGTGTATAATGTTCTCTGTCTTTTCAAGTATCAGAAAAAGAAAATTTAATTTAAGAATTATGAATGAATGAATCATGAGGTTATCGTTGAAAAATGCACGTCCTCAATTAGTTAAGCTTGAAATTTAAATGACCTATGATACAACTTTGGTAATTCTATAGGCCGTACCTTTGATATCAATCATCTTGGAGAGCTTTTTTAGTAAGTTTAAAAAGAGTTTTACTGCGCTCGCAACTGCATAAGGACATTTTGGAGAGCATATATTTTCATCTCCGTGATAAAACCAGCAATAGCCCACAAAATGTCCCATACTTTTTTTTGATGAATAGATAGTAAATCATCAATTTCATATGCTCAGTCAAAGACAGGTCAGAATTTTGACTAGAAATGAGCCTGAATAGGTTGTTTTTTTTTAAAGCCGACCGCCAAGTTGTTGCACGATGAAACCAAATAAGGTTTTTTTCTCTCCTGTATATCTTACTCACTGGGGTTAGCGGATCTTACCACAACAGCAATGATGATACGGTTGAGAACCACACAAACTTTCCCAACAACAAACTACACTTCTTGCACCTTACAAAGCAAATTTGAGAGATCTGTCGGGAGTAACAAAGGTGAACCAGGCCATGATCTTCTGAACACACAAAATGTGCTGAATGTATACTTGCGAAACGAATATTATCAGAAGAAAAAAAATCTTTGTATCAATTTCCAGATTGCCACTGTTCAGCATTTGTACATGACGTTGGAAACCTTTGACCCAGTAGACAAATAATTCTTGATACCTGTTCAGTGCAATTTTGAGGAAGAGGAATTTCATTCATGCTTCGACCTGACTGTATATGGTCGCTTTTAAGTACAAGCGGGCTATCCCGAAAAAAGCTGTTTTGAGAAAATCGAAGATAAAGTTTTTGCCCCTTTTTCATTTTCTTTAAAAGACAAGGAGAGTTTTCTCTATAACCAAACAAATATACACACCAACGAAACCAAACTTCTCCTAGGGGTAGGACAATGCCTACTTTTGGTGTAGCAGTCTGGAAACCCCTGAAATCTGGGTTAGACCGCTTGTCTTTAAAAGTGACCATATAGAAAGTCTACATAAAGCAGTAGCCACTGACCAGACAACCTGACCATAGATTGAAAGTCAACATTAAGCAGTAGCCACTGACCAGACCTGACCATATATTGAAAGTCTACATTAAGCAGCAGCCACTGAGCAGAAAACCTGACTCGGCTCACAAATAATCAGCTCACCTGAAGAACAAAATCTCGACCGCGGAAATCAGCAATGGTGCGGGGGAGGCGCGTCCGGCCCCAGACAAAGCGCAGGAAGAGCGACCGCTCGGCGTTGGTGAACTCATCCATGACCTCCCAGAACCACTGGACCAGAGGCGCCCCCGGCTCAATGCCCTTGTAGGTGGCTACCGACTTGAGCAAGCTCAGCGGAATGTCTGGGCTGCCACACACCTGATGGGGGAGGGGGAGGGGGGAAGGTTGTTTTATTTTCTTTCAGTATGAGTTTTAGTTTTGGTTTTAGTAGAGGTTTTACGGCGCTCACAACTGCATAAGGTCATATGAGCGCCAAGGGGTGGATGTCAACAGAGAAGTCCTTACAGGGAATCAGACTTACTCTCTTCACCTCTCTAGCTTCAACAACACAAAGTCTGCTTTGACTATCAAGGCACCCCCGAAATAGTGGGTCACAAGAGTGTGACAAACATACAAAAGAAGTAGAGGAAAAATGACGATAGTAAGGATTAGGAAAAGTATGAGTTTTACATTTGCAACACGATTAGGTTATGTAAGAAGTACTGAAGATTAGATGTCTTACAAGAGAGTAACAAACAAGAAAGAGAAGTAGATGAGATAAGGATGATAGATATTTTGAAGGGAAAGAAGGAGCAAACCACACCAAAGCACCCGCTACAGGTCGGGGGGAGGGGTAGAAGGAGGAGGAGGATATGTGGTATGAGGACACAGCACTAGGCGCAAAAAATAATGACATTTCGCTAACACAGATCTTTGTCAGCACATCTGATTCTTTAATGTAACTGAAAAACTCGGAGAGAGACCTGTATCAGTTCAGCAATATTGTTCCTTTGGAACAAAGGAGACCTCAAAGAAGACATTTATAACATGATGGTGATTTTGAAAGTCTGGATGGTTTTTTTTTCCACCATGATTTTACTACCTTTTCAATTTTGAAAACAGCTTGTACTAAGTGCAAAAAAATATAAGGTCAAACAGATAGTCCAATAAACATGACTGCTTTGCAAAGTGTGCTACTGAACCTCTCCACACTGCTTGTCAGCTTCTCACAAAATTTGGGCAATAGAAAAACACAGTCGGTGGAAACGTGAATGCAGCACAACTTACCATGGTCTCGAGTTCGTATCCGGTGAAGAGAGACAGGAGTGGGACTGGAACCACCTTGGCCATGCCTTCCCTCATCCATCTCACTTGCTCATCAAATTCGTGAAGTCTATTTATGGGGGAAAAAAGTTACAATATATATATATGTAGCCTATAAAAATATATCATTAATATTTATATAACATATATATATGCACACACACACACAAATCACTGTATCATTGTAATGTATATTTATACAAATATGAATCGTGTCCTTCTGAGTCTCAGAGTTGAAATATTTGGCGCATTTACAAAAAGCCTTTCTTCATCAATATTTCACATTAATAATTTTCTAATAATCCATTCTCTCATTTCCACTCAGTAGTGACATTATACCATATACAATTAGGTTATAATCTATATCATTGTAATCGCTAGTATATTTCCTCAGTGAGAGAAGACTGGGCGAGCCTCACCTGTGGTCCATGGCAAGTTTGACGTACTCGGCCCTGTTCTCCGGAGTGATGCGCGAGTACTTGTGGCTGAGATGAACCTCCTGACCCGTGGCGCTGGGGATGCTGAAAGGCATCTCCGCACTCCTCAGGGCGTCGTCCTCCATTTCTTTGATGCACATCAGACCTGTGGTTAAAGGAAAATAATACATGTTCCTGAATTTTAGATGTGTCAGAGTTTACTTGGGTTTATTTTTCAAATTTAGTAAGAGTTTCTTAGCACTTGCAACACAAAAAGGCCATGCAAGTGGTGAAGATTAGAAAAATTACTTAAGGGTAACATACAAAGAAAAGAAAGAGAGATAAGGATTATGGACGTTTGATAGGAAAGGAGCAAACCACACAACCCTTCACTCACAGGGTGTGAATCATTCACACCAGTCAGAGAGTCAAAACATGATTTTATGTTCACAATGTGTTGAGAAAAGCTAGTATAAAGTTCAATAAATGCAAAGCCAAGCATACAGCCCAATGAGCAGGTCTGTAAGGCGAAGTGAACTGATCCTCTGAACACTGCAGGGGTTCCGCGTGAGCCAGCACTTTACTTTTAGTTTCTGTCCTTTGATGAAAGTGAAAAAAGGATAAATATTTAAAGGTCTGACTCTAAGTGATTAAAATAATTGGACATGGTTTTGTTTTGATTGTGTGAGAATGGACAGATAAAACAAAAACTAATTTCATATTGACAGAATAGACAGAATATACCTGGCACAAAATCTTTGTCGATCTCGGAGAGATCTGAGATGGTGAGAGGCATGCCGGCCAACTGCTTCCAGGCTGGCTCGGCAATGTTGAGACTTAAAGGACTGCCACTGCGGATGGCGATGCCCACCAGGATACCTGTAGAAAACAAGACAGTTTAGTTATAATTTTAGTAAGAGTTTTACGGCACTTGCAACACAATAAGGTCATAAAAGAGCCGAGGGATTGGAGGTGTTACAAGAGAGTAACAAACATAAAGAAGGAGGAGGACAGCTAAAGACGATAGTTATTTGATAGGAAAGAAGGAGCAAACCACACCAGAGCACCTATCAACCACCCACAGGAAACAAGACAAAAGGGCATACCTCTGTTAACATATATGTGTGACCACCAAAGAGAATTATTGTCTCCTAACATTGCTCCCTTCAGAGCCAGCAATGAGAATGCAAGCCCCGAAAAAAATTTTGGGACAGCTTTTCGAACTTTCTGTATCTAATCCCTGTTTTTCAAAAATTCGCTAGAACAGGGCCATTGGAGGAATTGAGTCGAAAAAAGGTATAAGTATAGAAAAACAAGGAAACGAGGGAAAAAATGGAGGTGGAGAGGGAAAGAATACTCATGTGCCAGATCAAGCACCCACTCTCACCTAGAAACTTGAACATGTTCTGGTGCATGGGGCTGTGCAGCTGGGGGTTCAGCAGGAAACAGTCGCGGTTAGCGCCCGACTCGTCGCGGCCATTGGGTGTCACGATGAGCAAGGGGAGAGCACCGTTCTGCAGTTCCTCACACATCTCCACCGTTGACTCACTGTAGCCTCCACCACAGTCATCCACGCCCTCACCTGAACAAAATAAAAAGCGTAAACCAAATGCACGCAAAGAACAGGTTTCTGGCATAAACTACGTCTTCCCTTAGTGCCAGATCTGAACCAAACATCATTGATCATATTTCACCACACTGCTCTACTAGGATGCTAAAAAAAAATATATTTTTTTTTCCAAGTCTTCTCCTATCCCACTCCCTCCCACCGCTTTGCCCACACAATTGCTTTGCCACCATAACAACAATGGGAATAAAAGTTTCGGCCCTTCACATAGTCAATACATAACATGCATCATTTGCTTTTACAGATGGACTCACAACAAACAAACTCTTCATGAGTATATTCTTAGCATTTCACATTACTGGGGCAGTGAAGGTTGGGGAGGGTAAAAATTTACAGACAAAATCATAATTAATTAGAAAGCATGTATCGATTACTTGCAATAAATTTTGACATCACAGTACTATCAGCTGAGCAATCACTTAAAGGAACTTCACCCTGTAAGTTGGTACTGCTTCAAAAGTTTTCACAATTCTGTGACTAGAGGGCGCCAGTGCTAGATCTTACTTCTTTACTGCCCCTCTGTTTTTTCTGTCTGCCTGTCTTACTTTTTCCCAGCAATAAGTGACCATTATTGTGTTGATGTGCTTCTTATTCCTCAAACAAAAAAAGAAAATCATCACAATTCTTTTGTAGGTGTCATCTCTTCCATTACCACTCACCTACAAACTTGACCTTCCAGACCCTGTGTGGCAACATCAGGGACTCTGGAGTCAGGATAGACAAACGCTGGGACATCTGGCCAAAGACAGACTTGAGACCGTCCGGACCCGCCAGACCGCCTTTCACTCGCGAACGTTTCACCTGATGAAAAAAGTTTTTTGTTGTGTTTCAGTAGAGGTTTTACGGCGCTCGCAACTGCATAAGGTCATATGAGCGCCAAGGGGTGGGTGTCAACAGAGAAGTCCTTACAGGGAATCAGACTTACTCAGCTCACCTCTCTAGCTTCAACAGCACAAAGTCTGCGTCGACTATCAAGGCACCCCGGAAATAGCAGGTCACAAGAGTGCGACAAACATACAAAAGAAGAAGAGGAAAATGACAATAGTAAGGATTAGGAAAGAAAAAGCAGCAGTTCCCTGTTGCAGTTCAGGCACAGTTATGAGCATGACATTGTTGGATCAGCCCATTTATAATTTTACTGCGCATTAGAATGAGAAATGTCCCCCCTTTGGGAATGGCCTACAGACCCTTCAGTCAGTGGCACCACCCCGGGGGTATGATGAAGAAAGGGTTAAGGGACGGTGTGCATGAGAACACTGTATTTTTGCTATAGAGATCTCTGCCACTTGCATCTTCAGTGTTAAGTTTTAGGATGAGGTTCACTGCCCTTGCAAAGCAGATAGGTCGAATACGTGGTGAAGATTAGAAGTGTACCAAGAGAGTAAAAATACAAAGAAAAAGAGGAGAGATAGGGGTGATAGACGTTTTGATAGGAAAGAAAGAGCAAACCACACCAGACCACCAGTCAGCCATCCATTCCTTAAGAGTATGTAATACATCAACATCAATACACTTAAAGAATTTTTTTCAGACTGTGAAGATCACCGCTACAAACTTGTGACATTATATAATAATGGGCATTAAAAAAAATTAGCTAAACATTCTGAAGAAATCTTGATGAAATGAAAACATTAAACATAACAAAATAAAATTCTTGTTTTCATCCCATCCAACCTGGGCTGAATGGGACACAGTAACCCAGGAGACATATGGAGACACTTGATAAAAAGCATCCCCACTTACAAATTGAACCCTCGCCTCCTGTGTAAAATGGCAAAGAGCTTAACCGCTACACCACAGAAACTGGTTGCTTGGGCTCAATTATGCTAACTTTAACACTGAAAAGAAATAACAGGAGCATAGAGCACCAAAGCACCCGTCAACCAGTCCCCAAGATAAATGTCAACTGTACCAACATAAATAGGGACATCAACTCTAGTTCAAGTAGCAGTCAAGTTCCATAATAACATCCTATAACATTGGGGGGTGGGGGTGGGGGGGGGTAATTATCGCAAATTCCTGGAAGGCATCATCCTTATTTAATAATAACTCAAAAGGGCTCACCTGAATTCTGTTCAGCTCTATCACAGGCCCGTGTTGTTTGTCCCTGACCATCGTGGCCTGAACAACTTTACGGAAAGCTGCCTCCTGCCAAAACAAAGAAGACCAAAATCATATATGAAATTGAGATTTTTCATTGAGAAAAAAAATGTAGGAGTTTTACAGCCTCACTGACACAGTTTAGATCATTTTGAAGGAAAGCTTCGACCTCGTCTGTCAGGGTCAACTGGGCTGAAAGGGATACAACGTCCCAACAGAAAGACAGAGACAACAGCTAAAAGTTCTCCACTCAAACCAAACTCAGATCTTCTGCGTGTGATGGCGAAGCAGCTATCTGCTACACCACAGACGTCAGTGAACACTTCTTTAACTTACTTTAAGCCTTACCACCACTTTACGGGGTGCGATTGTCTGGTAGGGCAATTGTTTATTCTAATTTTAGTTAACATCATGAGAAACAATCTGTCTTTTTCAGTTTGCGCTTTTTCCTGTAAACAAGGCTTATTCTTTTATTCAATCCATACATTGAACCTGTTGGTATAGAAGGATAGCAGTGCAAGTAGCTCTTAAATAAATGTATAATCAAACACTAAAAGAAGAAACATGAGCAAACTGTGGGTCTAGACAACAATATTTTTCAGCAGACAGAGCTAAATATGTTAAGCAGAAACAATCAACAGTTTTCACTGTTATTAAAAATGGAGACAGGACAAGAAAGCACCGGGGTCACGAGATGTTACCTTGGCCGAGGAGACCAGGATGCCCCTGAGCGCGTCCAGTCCCGTGGAGACGTCCTCACGACAGTGGTCCCGCCCGCTCTCCTGCAGGTGCACCATGGGAATGCATGGGCAGAAGAGCTCAGAGAAGTGATGGAGCAACACCAGGCGGTTCCTCAAAACTGGCATCTCAATACCCTGAGAGGGAAACGGCAATAACAGTAATAATAATAATATAATAATAATAATCATAATAACAACAACAATAATAGCATAATAATAATAATAACAAAAATGATAATAATAACAATAAAAAGAAAAAATAAGAAAAAACAGTGCTAATAATACAATAATAATGAAAAAGAAAAAACAAACAAAAAGAGACAAATGCAGTTCCTTGGACATTTGAACCGACAGAAAGGCCTTTAAACACTTACAAACTGACAAGATCTTCCACCATCTATAGCCCGGTACCCATTCTTATTTGGGTGGGGTGAAAAGAGGAAAATTTGAGTAAAACGCTTTTTCCAAGGACACTACATTGGATCCCTGATGGAATTCAAATCCATGACCTTTAAGTTGCAAGTCCCAGCAGCCTATCCTTTAAACCACCGACACACTTCTTTGCCATGTTTAATGGGGAGCCCGGTGCTTTTCTTCCCATCCAGGTCTGTGGTCTACCAGCAGTCTGGTACATCTGGCATTGGAGTTCCAGAGCTATAAGTTCTGTCTCCCACCTACGCACATAAAAAGACCTCTATTCTCTTTCCCCTGTGTTAAAGCAATGAGGCTGACCTGCAGGTGGTTGTACTCCATGGGAATGGACGTGGGCAGCCGGCCGGCGCTGACCGGCTTGTGAGTGGACCAGGCCAGGCTGTGGGCCGACCCACAGGCCACGCGGTTGATCTTCTTGCCTGAGGACCATAAAAAGGCGGAAAACACATTCAGTAATATAATAAGTTCAACCACAATTTGCTACACTAGAATAATACAAAGTTCTACCTGCTCAGTAACTGGTTTGGAAAAATTTGCTGTAAACAAATTTGAGCTTCACAAAATGTCAAGCTGTTTTGAATGCGACTCTTTCGATAGCTTGATAATCACTGCGAATAATCTTACTATTTTGATAGAGCAGATAGAACATTAGGTTTCTGACCATATGGTCTTAGTATCTGAAAACGGCCAAATATGTCAGACAGAACATTGTATTCTAAGGTAGCGAATTGTCTTAGACAGCTATCCATTGTCGGTGAGAAACGTGGCCCCTTTAGACAGGTGGTTGTCTTACACAGTGTCATTATAATGACTTTAAAAAAAATTGCAAGGGGGGAAATCGGAGGTGGTTGTCTTTTACGGGCGGCTGTTAGAGCAAGTTCGATTGTACAAGTAAAATTGTCCATCCCATGCTTCCCTCCCCCCCCCCCCCCCATTTTTAATAGCCCAGGGGCACACCCTCTGGGTCACAGTGAGAAAGATGCTTTGTCTTTCAGGAACAGACACATTTGATTATGGATTATTTCTAAAATGCTCCAGACAAATCTTTTTCTAACAGGATGGAAATATATGGAAGAAAAAAAAAAGATTTGGAGATGTAAAGTGGTTACAGGAGTTAGTAGTGTCATTTTAGTAGGAAAATAGGAAAGAATTTGTTTCTCACAGTACATTCAGAAGTACTTTAACATCATTTATGGAGCAGATACACACATACATACACACAGGCACACGCACGCATCCACACAAACACAGACACACACACACACAAAGACACACACCTTGTAGTGCAGCGACCAGCCTGGGCCTCTGTATGGCATTGGTGGTCCCGTCTCCTAGTTGTCCCTCATCGTTGTCCCCCCAAGTGAACACCTCACCTGGAAAAGAAGAACATTAATTTTCAATAAAAATTACGGCATATCATAATGAGGTACATAAAAAGTTTTAAACATTTATACATCTCTTTTTAAATCTAAGGTGTTATCTCGAAGTTATTAATAGCAACTGCTTTTTAAACTGGATTTGCATTCTGAAATAAAAATCTCCTTACTTATAAAGGTAATTACGCCTGGGTGACAATATTCAGAAAAAACTTACTTTTTCACGTTTTACCGACATAAATGCATTCAACAGTGTAAAGATAGGGACAAATCTCTTTCTCAAGTCTCTGAGAAAAAGAGCTTTTCAAATATGCTTTCACACTTTGCCGTCTTATCTCGCCAAATGGTCATGTTTACCACCCAGTTTCTTTGAATTTTCCCCAAAATATGATGGCAAAGTGTTAAAAAATGGGTTGGTTTACTCAACGGCCAAATACAATGACGACTATGAAGCCCGGCCCAGAGCCACTGACCTGTCTCTGTACAGGCCACACAGTGCAAGGAGCCACACGCCACGTCGATCACTTTCTTCCCCTGAAGGGCAGTCACTCTGCGAGGCCTGCGCACGTGGTCATCAGTTCCATGTCCTAGACGGTGATAGTCTCCCTTACCCCTGAGAAAGACACGACGTTTGCTTATCACGGTCTATGTTTTAACAAACCTTTACTTACAAATTGAATTGCCGAAAAGCTTCAAATATGGCATTATGCAAATAGACATCCCCCCCCCCCCCACCACATACCAAAAATGCATGAAAAACCCACAACAAACAAAAGCAAAAAAAATCCCCCAAAAAGTTTATGGGGGAAAAAAAAAGTTTATTTCTTCGTTATGTTAAGAAAAGAGACTGCACAAGTGAGAGGGAGAGGGAGAGAGAGAAAGAGAGAGAGAGAGAGACAGAGAGAAGGGGGGGGGGGGAGGTGGTTTCCATAGTCGAGTCGTATTAAAGCACATGAACTGCAAAACATGAATAACATTATGTCAGATAAAGATTGGCAAACATAATAACACATATTGTTTTAAAAAATTACGCAAAGCAGATGTAGTATAAGTTCAGTAAAGCGCCTCCTCCCCCCCCCCGTAGATTTATCAATACATAAAAATACAAAATAAGGACAACAAATATATAATTCCCAAAAAGGTCATAAAATCAAATATTGTTGTAAAAATACAAAAAATTCCCCCCCCGAATGGTGACATGGCAGCGGGTCAGACGAACTGACCTCATGGGCCATAGTTTTATGATTTACCCGTGTTCTATTTCTATACTCACCAGGTGTAAACAGCGCCAGACTGGGTGAGTGCCACTGAGAACTGTGAGCCACACTCCACTTTGATGACCCCCAGGCCTTGCAGCGCCTCCACCTTCATGGGGACCTTACAGCCATCACTGCCTCCACGACCTGGTGGAAACAAAATGGTGAAGTGATATGGTCCCTTTTAAACACAAGGGGGCTACCCGAAAAATGCTGTTTTTAGGAAAATCGAAGGTAAAGTTTTTGCCCCTTGTTCAGTTTCTTTAAAAGGCAAGGAGAGTTTTCTCTATAATCAAACAAATACATACACCATTGAAACCAAACTTCTCCTATAGGTAGGGCAATGTCCACTTTTTGTGTAGATCAAGATTTCTGGAAACCCCCAAAATCTGGGTTAGCCCGCTTGTCCTTAAAAGCGACCATATAGGCTTATCTAACACTCCTGTCAACACTAGCCTAGCCAGCCAGCCTCGAGAACCTACAACACAAAGCACTCAGGCTAATAAAAGAAGAGGAAGGCCACGCAAAAGATGGATTGAGGGTGTCAAGGAAACTCTGAGAAATTATAATATCCCAATTGCAAGAGCGGCTTAGCTGGCCTACCATAAAAACTGCATCTCCCCTCGACGCTTAATGGCAACAGAGGCTGAAAGAGTAAAGTAAGTATCAACACTATTACGCTATTCAAGAGGCAATTGGGAAATTTGTGTAAAGTGTCTTTCCCAAGGACAACATGGGACCCAGCTGAGGCTCGAATCCCTGAACCCGCAGTCTCACTATTACGGGTCCAGTAGCCTAACCACTAGGCTACCGAAGCCACTCTGCAGCCTGGACACAGTGACAAATTCAAAGAAAAAAACTCAAAATAAGTTCATCACACGAGGCAGCTTAGTAGGTACAGGGTGTCTAAAAAAGAGAGGACCTGAGCAAATGACTATTATTGTGTAAATGTGCTTCTCTTCACTCAAACACACTCAAAGGTTGTCTTGAGAAAAAAATATATACAAAAAAACTCAGTCACCTTCACACTGAAAAAACCTGTCTGACAGAATTCAACCACAGGGACAGCAAATTTGTCATTATGAAGAAAATTAACCTACAAGTTTGGAAAATATCAATGTTTGAAAATTTCAACCAAAACTGAATAAATCGCCAAACTTTACAACCTAAAAAAAAATCAACTGTAATCTGTATTTGCGCCTAAAAGAATTGATTTATTTAAAACTGGCCAGTGCCTTGGACAGGGTGTCTAAAAAAAAGAAAACACATTCAAAGTGTAAAGTTTTCCTGTGGGTTTTTTGAAAGACAGTCTATGGATACAACCCACAAGCAACTGAACAGCTGAATGAAACTCAGTGTTGGACAGCAGGTTTAAAGAATCGACCAAAAAACATGCCACATGATTATTCAAAATTCCACTGGCAACTCCAGCTTGTCCAGAGAGAAATGGTCAACACCCAGAGCACTAGGGTGCTTGTCAGACTTTTAACTGTGACAAGAGTTAACAGTCTGCCAAAACTTTTCATTTTCATCATTGCAATTGTAATTAAAATCAGACGGCTAAACACATGTACAGGAGAAGAGTTTACAAAAATCTTGATATTTAAGCCTCTCTCTCTCAGGCATGTGCTCTATCTCTCTCATGCCCGCGCACTCTCCCCCCCCCCCCACCCTCTTCCCCTTTCTTTCTCTCTCTCAGTAACAGTTTGATCACAGATCACTACCCAGAAATTTTCAAAGGGAAAACAGAGCTAGCATTTCAACAACTTACCCAGTTTTCCGTAGTCTCCATCCCCCCATGACCAGACACTGTCGTCGTCAGTTATACACAAGGTCTGAGCATCGCCGCTGCCACAAGCCATATCCACCACACGGTAGCCCTTCAGAGCTTCAAGCTAAACAATATGAAATAAAAATAATAGACTATCTAACTGCACAACTGGTTATTTCATATAAGGTAAAAAAGTAAAGTAAAGTTGTTTCCGCATCCGATCCGTACATTGGGGATTGTCTTGTTAGTGAGACAACTTCCTGTACTTTCATATAAAGTATTGTTTGAAATTGAATTGAACGTCGATTTTAAACAAATCAAAAGAAGGGTACCAAACCCACATATAACTTGAGGAATTTACTAGACTTAAAAAATCAAAGCAAAAAGTTAATGACAAGAGCACAAAGTACTTTATAAACTGCAATGGATATGTACGGGACAATCCACATATATCTAGAACCATGGAAAACAAAAACTTGAGGAAAAGTGGCATCCCCATGCTTTGTATAACAACAATGAAAGGGAACAGGGTAAACAAGCATGTGGTGAACACCTGCTGAATAAAAAACACTTTTAAAAATGATAAAAATGATAATAATACTAAAAATAATTAATAATAATAATAAAAAGAGTAATAATAATAGTAAAATAACAACATTAACAATTATTATAATGATAATAATTGTATTTACAGCATATAACCATGCATAACAGCATGCTCTAGGCACTTAAAAACTATTATAACCCCAGCAGAATCAAGAAGACTCAAAACCATTCTTGGCTTGGCAGACTCCTCATCACAAACTCACCACTTTCGGCCTGGACTGATCCTCTGAGTCTCCATGACCCAGACGTCCATAACGACCTTTTCCCCAGGTATACAGCTCTCCATTGCTGGTAATGCAGGCAGAATGGGCACCACCAGCTGCGATGTCCACCACCTCTTTGCCTCGGAGAGACTCAATCACCCTTGGTCTGTCACACGGACTACGATAAGGGACATATATAGAACGATAAAAACTTAAAAAACAAAATTGAAGAGAGTATACAGGAACACATATCCAACGTTATCATGACTATAAACCCCACTCACAATGACAAGCAAATCCCGAAACATCTATCAAAGTTTATAAAAAATGACCAGGGTAGCAAAGACAAGATGCTACTGTGAAGGAGAACTTATAAACAGGTCTTCAATTTCTGACAGAGGAAGGGAAATCCAACGGACACCTTTTCTTACACTGAGAGAACTGTACTGACTTGAAACCTCATTTACTGGTTGTTGGTACTGATCTGTCAATTAAGTGTCTGCAATGTACTAGTCTTCTGTATTTGTCCTGTGATGCTCACGTACATGGCTAATCACGCCTTCTTTGTCTCTTGAAGCAAACAGGTCTCACTAGAGTACATATCCACTGCTTCGTGCAAGATGCCACCATACACCATTTTGAAAAGTGATGTATGACGGAGTACGTTGTACTTAGGCGAGAGAGCGAGTCTGATGGTGGCGCTGCTCTTTCTCACTTTAACCAAACCTTTGCGCAAGTCCAACATCTGCTCTTATAGCTACAGCAGAAGCCACAAGTCATCTTGACCTTTAAATTCTTCAAATTCTTTTATTTCACTGGGGAAATATTCTCCGACGCGGATGTATTGGTCATCATCTGACGTTGACGGACAAGCTTTTATTATAACTATTATTATTTTTATTATTATTACAGTACAGACTCTTACACTGAGCAATCAATATGTGTGTTCAGAAAATTTGCCTGACACACTTTCCTCTTGGTCTTAATGTGGAGATTCCCTAAATTTTCTGTGATAGCTTGTTCATGGTTATGGGCTAGTTATAAATTCTGAGATTTTGCTCTTTATCTCCTTGTTGTTGATCATGGATCCAAAATGTTTGAAGTAGGTTAGTTACAACCTCAAGCTTTTCATTTCTGACAGTAAACTCTGCTTTTTTGTGTGATTTTCTCTGTATAAAACTAGCCTCTCTTTAAGCTGATCGTCAGACCAAATATATTGCATTCAACCTAAAAGGTGTCCGTCACATTTTAGAATTTTTTCTTTAAACGCCTACCTTTGTCTTTGCCAGGGTGGTAAGAAAAGCCTAAACAGTCACACAGAAAATGTTTATACCAGTCGTTGTTTGAATGGGGTTTAGGTACAAAACGTAAAAACACAAAAAATGATGCAACAAGACCTTCTAATAATTGATTTCCTTGTAGTTCCAAAGCAAAGCACTATGGACATTACCATTTACTTCAACCTTAGACTTCACTCTCAGTGGCAAAGGTCTAGTAATTGTACACATACACACACATACAGACAGATGTACATGCACGTGTACACGCAAACACACACACACACATACTCTCACAATTACAGAATTCTCCATTTTCTAAAGACCATTGGTCTTTCCTCCAAAATGTAGACAGCTATTATTTTTAAAATGTAAACTAGCATTTTTCAAATAGAATTTTTACTTTGTATTTTCAGATACTTCCAAAATTTGCAAAGAAAATTCAAGATGTAGAGTGAACTAAGGTGAAAACAAGCAAATTTGAAAAGGGATATATGACGCGATCTTACACTGAGCAGTTGTTAAGCAGCTGTGAACGCCGTAAAACTCTTACCAAACTGAAACTTGACATGCACATAAACAAACAGATAGACAGACATGTAGCAGCTGCTGCTGGTTCTGTACCTGCGGTTGCCGTGGCCCAGTTTGCCATCCTCGCCCTCCCCCCAGGAGTAGACCTCGCCCTCCGCCGACAGCGCCAGGCAGTGTTTGCCCCCAGAGTTGACCGCCAGCTTCTTGATGAACACGTGCTGGATGGACTCCAAAAGAGTGGGCGTGGCCACAGAGTCGGTCCCGCCCACCCCAAGACGGCCCCCTGCTCCATAGCCGGTGCCATAAACCTGGGAACAAAGGGGACAGCAAAGGTTATTTTTCAATAATGGAGAAAGATATATAGACAGAAGAGCTGTAAGGAACTGATAAAATTCTAAGATTCAAAGGTACACTCTTAACCTCTCTCCAACGTGCATTATATCAATATCAACACTACAGCTAGTGTAGTTCTGTCGGTGGTGAATGAGTTCACTTCCTGTCTCCACATAAAAATACAAGCATGAGGTTCCTGAAACCTTAGTGTCTTTAGAAAACATGGAATATGTTGGTTACCCAGGGGCAAAAGGAAAGAAACCTTCAGCACCATCCTTTACTTATTTGGATTTATTTGATAAGTATAATTGCATAGCACATATCCACACTCTACAGCATACTCTTTGCACTTTACAACCATTATTAGCCCCAGCAGACTCTGGACCACTCAGAAATATTTTTGGCTTCTTAGGAAACATACAGCGCAAGCTACATGCGCTCAACAATCTTTCTTTCACTGCCTATAGCTGGGTAACCATTTCACCCGAGGGAAGTGAAAAAAATTTGTCTAAGGGCTTTTCCCAAGGACATAACAAATGGCTCCTGACAGGATTCGAACCCAAAACCTTACAGCTGTAAGTCCAAGAGCCTGTCCACTAGGCCACTCATATCACCAAGGCAATAAGTTTTGTTTTGGTAAACAGGAGAACATTGTCACAATAAAAGACATTAAGTACATGTAAAAAGCAAGAAAGAAAGACAGAAACCACAGAGGGAAAGACAAGAAATTAGATCTACCAGAGGTACTCTCCAACTACCTGCCATCTTCTTTGAGGTAGCATTGGGTACCACTGTAGAAGAACTGATAAACCAGAGCTCAACCTACCTTTCCATCAGCGGTGACAGCAAACAGTGTCTGCTCCCCCCCTATCAGCTGGATGGGTCTCAATGTGGCCAAAGCATCACAGCTCAGGGGCAGCTTGACCTTTGCCCCCTCCACACCACCCAACTGACCTCTGTGGTTGTGACCCCACACCCAAATCTGACCGCTGCCTCCCCAGGAGAGAGTCCAGTCATCAGGTTTCCTGGAACATACCACAAAAGATAGGATGAGTAAAGATAAAACAAGGAAGATAACAGGTAATCCTTTCCTCAAAATATCTTGCAAAAAGTTTTTTAAAACCCTTTTTATTCATGGTACTCTTATGTTCCTTATGTGATGTGCATAACATTATCAAGTGTGTTGTGGTAGCGTGAATGTCTGGTTATGTGTTAGTGTTAATCTAAAGAGCATATGTATGCATATTCATTCACTAGTATTTTGTGTTAAGGTGAAGGTATCATAACGAGCTTAGAACTGTATTGTATGGGAGTGGATGCTGTTGACTTTATCAGCATTATTATTATTATTATCATTATCATAAAACCTACTTCGTGAGCCTAAACGGATGGGTGACAGGGAAAGATCAGGATAATGTAGCTTTTTTGAGAGCATCAGAGCAAAGGAACGAATGGAGAACCCTGATCACCAATGCCTGAAACAGATTTGGCACTTGATGACGGCGATCATAAAATCAAATAGGTAGCCTACAGGTCATGAAGAATAAGAAAAAATGTTATTTTATTATTACACACTTAAGAGTACAAGACCCAACGTTATCGAGACCACAGACCTGTTGATCCACTGTAGCAGCTGCTCGTCTTGCTCCTGTCTAAACATGGAGTGGCTCTCGTGCTCTCTGCCTACGGGCTCCTCCTCCTCGTTGGCGATGTCCTGGATCTTCTTGCGCACCTCCTCGCAGAAGTGCTGCGGCAGCACCATCCTCTTCACCATGGCCACGGCCACGCGGGCAGCGTTGCAGTAGCGGCGGAACCAAGCCCACTTGTGGGCCTCGGCACAGCAGGGCAGTATGTCCAGGTCAAGGTCACAGGCCAAGGCAACCAGCACCTGAGCGACAACAAGGTTTGTTGGTTTGTGAGAGCATAGAGAAGCACATCCACAGGGTATCAAGTGCAGGGGAGGAAAAAGCAGTACAATTTTACTGAAAAACGTGGATGAAAGGCACAACAAATTACAAATTTGCAGTTTCCAAGGACACTCAAGTGGCAAACTTTGACTGCCATTTTCTCACTAATTCTACCTCCTGGTGACCCCTACCTCCTTCGCTCGCAAATATGTCCAATTCTATTCCAGATAGTTCGGTATTTTTTCCACCAAAAGCAAGGCAAATGAAAAAGCCTTTAAAATGATACCAAAAACTCTGAATGTAATGTCCAAAAATTGACAAGTGCCTGATTTCATTGCGTCGTGACACAGATGGTAAATTATGCCCTGTGATCATAAATGACAGTCTTACACTAGGTAAGCGATTTTCACAAAGTGAAACTATTAAGTTGAATACGATATAATTGGAACATCAAGCCTAGAAGAAGAGTCAAGCAAAAGCTTATCAGGTAAATGTTTAAAATTCTACGTAAAATTGCCACCAAAATACTGTTTGAGAGATGTACCTTGAAGAATGGGCTGTGCATGAGATGTTTGCCGCTGCGCACGATGGAGTCCTCGTACTCATACTGTCTCTGCAGGGCCTCGGGTAGGCCTTTGACCAGGGTGGTCAGGGCTGAGCCACTCATGGTCTGAGTTATCAATCAAATAAAACACTTGTTAAATAAACACATTCAAAAACCTTTCACAAAATTACTGTAACATAATTTATGGAATGTTCTTTTCATAAATTAAAAATGAAGAAATAAGTGAAAAATCATTGGCTTGAATAGCTTAAGTCAACTTTGACATTTTCTTTCCAATAAAAGTTGTTTTTTTCTAACTCAATGACAGGGTTTTATGACCCTCATATGTACATAATAGATCTTCTACTTCAACAAAAAAGGAAACAGTTATTTAAATCATTTCCAACATTTAAAAAAAAAGAAATTAAGCAAAAAAATGTAGAACTTTTAAGCATGTACATAACTTAATGACAATACTTCCAGATATGTAAAAAAAAAACAACTGTAACAAGAACACTGTCTCAGTTAATATCTATGATATAAAACCTGCAATTTCTGTATCATTTTTTTAGTAGATTCAAAACCACTAGGTTTTTTTTATCACTGAGCTGTAGACTTCCAGCAGTTATCACTGCACTAGCTTACTTAAAGCAAAGAGAAGCACATTAACATAGTAGGAGCCAACAAGGGATGGAAAAAGAAAGAGAGGCAGAAACAACAGAGGAAAAGAAAAGAAGAAGGGCCTACCAGTACAGTACGAGTAAATGGCTTCAGACAAATCAGTAAATTTAAGCTTGTGGGTGGTTGGTAGGCGTTCTGGTGTGGTTAGTTCATTCATCCCTGTCAAACATCAATAGCCATTATCTCTCCTTTTTTAGTTTGTATTTTACTCTCTTGTACCACCTATCTTTGGCACTTATATAACCTAATAAATTGTGTTCCAAACGCCGTAAGACACATATTAAAACTAAACTAAACCGATCAAGCTCTTCTCACCATGTGGAAAGGCCTGGGCACCTCTTGCTCTGGGCTCTCAGTGGTGGGACTGGACAGCAGGGCGTTGATGTTGATCAGGTTACTGTAGCTGGTGGCCAGAATCTTGCGCAGTTTGTGAAGAGCCCACATCCTCTGATTGGCTCCTGGGTTTGGTCGGTCGGGGTGGGGGAAAAAACACAAAATTAACTCGTGGGCAAACTAGAAAACACACTTTTGTAGGACCAAGACTAACTTCTCAGCGCCAGAATTATTTCTCTTTCCAGTAAAAAAAAAAAGCACATGTATATCATTATTTTGAACATGTTCCTAATCTTTAATTGGATCTACAACAAGAAATTTCTATTGCTAAAGGCAATTTCAAAATCAACTGACAGGTGAAATTTCGGAGCTAAAAAGCAATTTTGCATAGCTTGACAATATACCATAAAAATGGTGAATATGACCTTACATGATGAGTAGGATTTTTAAAAAACCCAAACAACTCAGTTTGTAAATAGGCAACTGTTGGAGAAGAAGAATATATTAATTCTCAGATGCTAACACAAGAAAAATTGATTGTTGTCTCACATCTTACCAATTCGTATTAATACATGAATGACAAAACTGAATGATTACAAAAAGTTTTACTTAATTTCATAAGTCATGTCTGTTATGGATAGAAATATGGGAGTATAACAAAGCAGCTCCTACTCTGATGTCCATCTCCAATTTTGCATCAGATTTTATCTATATATCTAGAGTTTTATTTTAAAAGACAGCATATCAAGTTTTGGGTAAGACTTGAGTTACTGATTCCACCTGATAGGTTAAAATATGGACCACATTTCTGCCTTAAGTCTGGTATTGATATCTTAATTAAAAAATGCAAGGAAAATGTTTTGAAGATATTCAAATCAACTGGCTGTTGAGAGGCAAAGATGTGGGTTTTTTTTTTCTCTCTTGAACAATTTACAAAACTGGATATACCGTGTGTTAAAATAAAATGCTCAAGCACAAAACAAGGATCATAGCAGTTCTGAAGTAAGCTAAACACTTTGGTTTGTCCGAGTCCACTAACCGAGACAGCTGAGCTGAGCACAAGCAGCGAGGGCTGCAGCCAGACGTGGCACGATGCTTCGGTCCAGAGAAACCTCCAGCTTGAAGTCCAGGAGGCAAGTAACCAGGTCGATGGATGGTCTGGACAGAATGGTGCGGTCACTCAGGGAGTCCAGCGGAGCGGCGGCCGGCATGACGGGGTACACTGTGAACTGCCAGCCCCAGCCGTTGACAGAGCCGTCACTTGTGAACTTCCAGCGGAGCTCGTCACCGGGGATACGCAGCTCTTGGAACCAGTCGGACCATTCACGACCTGGGGAGGGTGGAATAGAATAATCACAAGATGTATACCTACATTAATACATTTGCAGACACACACACATACACACACACACACCTGCTGGCATATACATGGCAAAGTCCTCTTACAAACAGAAAGATGGAACAAAATTTAAAAAATTTAGTCTGAAAAATTCTTCTCAGAGCAGGAACTGACAAAATTGAGACATTTTAGAGCAACCCTGAGATGACTGTGTTTTGGCCACAACATGGCCAATGGAGTACACCTATAGGAGCCCTTTGCTCAATCTCAGTAAAATTAATCTAAAACCAAAAAAACTCTCAAGTTTTGTACGATGGTACAACGTGAAGCAAAATGGGAACAATAACAAAGGCATATGTCTGGTTTTGAAAAGACCTCAACCAAATGCAACAGGGCATTGGGGGGGAAGCAAATGAACATTACAACTGCCGAATCAAACAATAAAATAAACGCGAGAATCCAGAAAGGGAAAAATAGAAAGAAGAGAAAATCTCAAACGTACAGATAAAAATTCACCGAACTGTTACCAAAGATCATTGATTGGTCACATATGCTGGCCCAAGTCACTGCACAGTACAACTAAAGAGAACCCCAGTTAATAATTTCATGCTATAAGTTGCGAGATATAACTGACCAGATCTGACAGCAACGGTCCGTCCAGTAGAATCCATGATGGTGAGTGGGTCGTGGCGACGTTCCGTGGAGCAGTGACGGTTGAACTCGACACGCAGAGCCTCCGCACCTGTGGGAGGGAAGAACCAACACAGCCTTGTTGTAAGCAGTACCATGTCAAGGTTTATACAGAGTATTCACCACTGTTTTTGTTTTGTTTTAGTAAGAGTTTTACGGTATTTGCAACAAAATTAGGTCATATATAAGTGCCAAAGATTAGAGGTGTTACAAGGTGCTTGTCAATTTTTGTGCATGTGGAGTTACTGGTATCACCTGAAAACTGATTTATTTGCCTCTCTTTCAATGAAACAAATATCAATCTGTCTTGAACAAAACTCAAGATATTTGCGATTGAAAGAAGTGAGGTCGCCTGGTTTCAGTGGTGAAATTAGCAAGAAAATGGCCGCCAAAGTTTGGTAACTCCGTAGGTAAATAGTCCTTGAAAACAGAAAAATGACATACTTTGTGCCTTTAATCCATGTTTTTAAGTTAATTTCATATGGAAATGGGTTTTTATATGGACATAAAAGAGGTTGAGTCCAAAAATAACCATCTGATAAAAATTTCCAAACTTTGGAAAAATGCCTGTTTCTCCAATTTCTGTATTTTGACGAGCACCTGATTTCACCATGCTGCCTCACATATACAGTGTCTATTGTCCTCATCTCTCCTTTTCTCTGAATATTATACTCCAGTATCGCCTCTAATCTTCAGCATGTCTTTAGTATATGACCTATACAATTTAAATGCAATGTATATATACACATGTTTTTATCATTCCTGTACAGCCACAGAAAATTCCCCACAAGGATAATTAAGCATTATCTTATCTTATATCACAAGTGCCGTAAAACTAACTAAAACTTAAGGTGGAATCTCTCACCATGCCTGTTGTTGGGAAAAAAACACAAAAAAACACAAAGAAACCCCACAAAAAAAACAACAACCCAGAACCCCTAAACATAAACAGGATAAAGGCCCACATTTTGCGTAGTCCTTACCTGGAATCCTCACAATACCAGTCTGGCTTGAGTCGTCCGTGTAGGGATGAGCGCTCTCTTGGGACACGGGCTTGGCTGCCGAGCGTCCCGTCTCACTGTCTGTGGCCACGTCCTCCAGCTCAGTCACACACAGCTCCAGGAGCATCTCTGTCACCTGAGGAGAAGGGCCCGTCCACAAGTTAAGTTTTACCACTGGTAGCATCAGTTTGTCTTTGTTTAAGCAAGTGTTTTACGGCTCTTGCAACACAATCAGATCATAGTAGTGTCGAGGATTAGAGATGTTGCAAGATAGTTACAAACCAATCTTCGACAAAATTGAGTTAACAATTCTACCTGATAGTTTAAGACACGGCGCATATATATGCCTTAGTCTGGTATCGATATCTTAATATGGCAGGGAAAGTGTTTTGAAGATATTCAAAGCGACTGGCTGTTGAGAGGCAAAAATGTGTCTTTTTTGGTTCTCCTGAACATATTCTGAAACTATCTTTTAATAAGATAAAAAAGTCCAATAGTGTTCTGAAAAAGAAGGGATACTGATACTTATTCAAAAACAACAAACACTTACATGAGGAGACGCCTTTCCAAGGGCAGTGAGCACATCTGACAGGGTTTTCTTTCCTCCCACCACCCGCCGAGCGACAGAAAGTTTCAGCAAGTCCACCAGGATGCGAGCGTCATCCACAGACAAGCGGTAGGTGAACTCGTCCAGACCCGGAGGGAAGCCACCGGTCACCTGGGTGACCTCGTCAGCCGTCTGCAGGGTCTCTGCCATAATTGAGGTCACAGGAGACACCTTCGCCGCCAGACTTTGCATGCTGGGGAAAGGGAGGTCTTCACCCTCTTCCTGTGAATGGACAAAACAAACTGAATAAAGGGCCTGGCCTCATGATGACCTTGTGTGTGTGTGTGTGCCCACAAGCATGTGTGCATGTGTGAGTGTTCAAGAGCGCGCGGGTGTGTGTGTGTGCATGTGTGAGTGTGTGTAAGTGTGTCTGTGGAACAAAATTTGGATTATAAAGATTTATCTTATCTCAAGTAAAACTCATGGGTACACGAAGGTTACAAAAACAAAAAAGCCAGAAAAAAAATCCAAACAAAAATACCACGATATCAAGAAAAGGCATGATTAATTCCAGAATATTACTTTTACATGAACTAAAGGCCAAAACTATGATTCTGATCTTTCTAAAACCTCATGGAATAAAAAAAAAACTTAATGAAAGAGGAGCATAGTGGCAGATAACAAGCGTGTTATCTGCATAAGCAATAAAGCAAAGTCAGGACTATATTGTTGTTGCTGTCAAAAGGAAAATGAACAACTCCCATTTTTAAAATTTCTCTTACCCTGTTAAACTGGTTCAAATAGAATTATTTTTCTTGTGGCACTGATGACAGACATGTTCAGAAAAATTCTGCTGCAACTCATTTCAATTTCTTCAAGGCTACAATCTAAGTGTACAGCTACAACAGAGTAGAGAAAAAGTTCTTCACAATGTGAGAGTTAAAATTAGCAAATTACACAAATTTACTTCTTTAGTTTTGTTCAATGAACTCTGAAACTTTCCAGGAGCAGTTTACAAGGCTTTAGTCTTCTCTTCTGTCCTCCATGACCTCCCCCCCCCCTCTTTTTTTAACAGAAGGATAAGAATACAAGAGAGTGGTGCCATTTTGCTGAAGCAAAAATTTCAGCTACTGACTGAATATTAAGCCAAAACATATCACTGTAACTTACTAAAGAGAGTAAAAGCAAGATGACTGAACAAGAAACAAAAAGTCTTTAACAATCAACACTTCTATAATCCAGGAACCTTCAGTTTTGTTTTCATTTTTAGTAAAGGTTCTATTGCATTAGCAACACAAATTGGTCATATGAGTGCCATACCAATGATAAGAGGTGTTATTAGAGAGAACATACACTGAAAAGAAGGAGGAGAGATAAGGACAATAGCTGTTTGATAGGAAAGGAGGAGCACATGACACCAGAGCACCCACCAACCTTCCATGTAAACCTTTAGGAAGGTTGGAACCCTGATTTTATTTTATTTTTTTTAAACAACAAAAAGGAGAGAGAATTCCCTGGCACTTACCCCATCCACCGAGTCCAGGAGCGAGGCGGCCATATCCCCAGCTCCTTGCTCCAGCATCGACCCATGCATCACAGTGCTGGTCTCGGGACTCGAACCCTGGGACTGGCTGGACAGCTGGGCAAGCAGGTGAATCGACTCTAGCCCCTGGGAAACACCGGTCAGCGGGATGCTTTCTTTGCTCAAAGCTTTTACTATGGCATCCCTGGAGGACAGAGCAATTCCAGATTAAATCATAAGTTTTACCCCCCTTGCAACACAAATAGGTCATGAAGGTGCTGAATATTAAAGGCGTTACAAAAGAGTAAAGGAGGAGTGTTAAGGAGCAATTTCAATATTATTCAACATTTAGGCGGAAAAGAATCAGATATGGAAAGTTTAAATAAGTACATGCTGAAAAGGCACAAATGTATGTCTGCTCAAGGACAAAAACTTCCAGCAGGCTTTCAAAATGTAATGGACTTTACAAAGTCTTGACAACATGAATGTGAAGGTGACGATACTGATAATGAACTACAAAAGGTACAGCAATTGTTTACGAACGAGACAACAAACCTGGCATATTTGATTTGCAGTGCATTGAGAACATGGTTGAGAGCCCTCTGCTTCTCTAGCGTGGAGTCCATGTACAAGATGATCTTTGACAGGGAAGGGCGATTGTTTTTCTCTCGGTTGCTCGAGTCCTTAGATGATGTGCTCAAAGTCTCCTCTTGGCATTCTTCTCCCATTCCTAAAGTCACAATTAAAAAAGATGAGTTGCAATGACATCAACTGCTTCTTTTCAACAAAGTTCAGTTTGAGTTTTAAAAACTTGAGGATAAAATTTTGTTAGTTATAGTAAGAGTTTTACGGCACTTACAACACAATTAGGTCATATAAGTGCCAAAGACTAGAGGTGTTGCAAGAGAGTAACAAACACAAAAAAGAAGGAGGAGAGATAAGGAAAATAGATGTTTGATAAGAAAGAAGGAGCAAACCACACTACAACATCTGCTAACCACCCGCAAAGCTTGAACTTAGAAACTTTTAGGTTAAAACTTTAATGCTAGTTCAACGCAAATCCTCATAAAAAGAAAACGAGTTACAGAGTAGAAACCGGGATAACTTAGCAAGATAACAGTCAAGTCTTGCGTGGAACAGACAGAGACAACAGGAACACTGAAAGAAAGTAACACCACACTGCCCCAATTAAAAAAACACCTCTAGCACAACCAAACACTTCCGGTACAAGAACTTACAGACTAGATATTTAATTTTCTCCTTTCGGGGCATTTTCTGGACTTTGTGGTAATGTTAAGAAAGAGCAAGGGAGCAGGAACCGGGGCGGATAAAGCCAAATCACATAGTAAAAAATCCCATACCAGCTAACATAAATTAAATAAACATGCTGCTCACCAAGAAAAGTGGCCCCAAGTGGATCTTTAGAGGTGGAGAAGAGCACGGGCTCGTGTGAGGTGGGTATGGAATAACCCGTGGTGGCCCAGGCAACACTGTGGGACGAACCACAGGCCACGCGAGTGATCTTGTAGCCCTCGGTTCCCAGAACCATGGCAGACTTGCGGTTCACGGTTGTGGTGCCATTGCCTTGTTGGCCGTGGTCATTGTCTCCCCAGGCCCATACCTGTGGAGAGGAATCAGACAAACCACTGGTTCATTAAAAAAATAAAGAGCCAGAGAATGTGAGCGATATTTTGGAAAATTAAGTAGTAAAATAAGTTTTAAAAAATTACATGCACATGTATAATAGCAAGCAGTAGGTAAAATAATACATCTTTCATAATGTCTTTTGTTTTCCTTGTATTATTTCCTTCCCAACAGAGTGAGGACACAGTGCCCAGAAATTAAAAAAATTCACCCCGAGTAAACATTTACATTTCCTTCAAAGTAGAAAAACGGTCAGACTAACAGCATTAAGACTTAAAAAAAGAAAGTTATAAACATACAAATTAACGTAGGGGTAACTAAAGACAAATCAGACAGTTATCTGTAATAGGCAGACAGTGCACAGATTCTACAGAGAATGTGTACGATTCCAATTTACTGACAAGATTACTAAAAAACAAACAATCATAAAGAAAATGAATTAACACACCATAAATAAAATAACACGCAGCTAAAGACCAGACAACTACAATTGAAGTTATCCAAGATGGCCACCCATCACATTGAAGAGAAAATTGTTCGCCTTAGACATTTGGACAGTGTCATATTTAAAAAAAGAAGAAAAAAAAAGGGGGGGGGGCTTATGGTTATGGGAAGTGGTCGTTTGTACAGATGAATGTCTTGGACAGGTGGAAGTTTGAGCAGATTTGACAGTAACCACAAATGAATGCAGTTCAAACAAATCAAATACAGCTCAATACACAATGGCACAACAAACCGACATTGGCAGAGCAAACTGACCTGTCCTGTGTCAGTGACGGCCAGACAATGCAGGGCCCCGACAGAAACGTGCACGATCTTCTTCCCCTTCAGGGCCTCCACCAGCTGTGGCTTACGTACGTGAGCGTCCGTGCCATGGCCCAGGCGGAAGTAGTCACCTTTACCCCTGATGTTGGAACAAAAAACTTCATTGAAAGGCACAAGCTTTTCCTGGATTTAAGGTCAATTCAGTGGCAGTTCATAGTCTTTTTTTGTTATAGTAAGCGTTTTAAAGCATTTGCAACACAATTAGGTCGTACAAGTGCCAAATGTTAGAGGTATTACAAGAGAGCAATAAACACAAAAAAGGAGGAGAGATAAGGATGACATATGTTTGATCAGAAAAAAGGAGCAAACCACACCAGAGCATCCATCAACCACCCACATTCAGTCTCAAATCTCTTGTGATCAAAAAGCTCACACAACTGCACAACAACTCCCTTGGCAGACTTATTTTATTCTTTGTAATTTTAGTATCTCATTCTCAATGGACAAAAGAATTCTAAATATAAAGGTAGGATTGATCATGCTTGAGAAATGTTGAAGATTAGCGGTGCTACAAGAGAGTAACAAACACAAAAGAAAGTGAAGAGAGATAAAAACTACACACGTTTGATAGGAAAGAAGGAGCAAACCACATCAGAGCACCTGCCAACCACTTTCAATCAAAAGTTATGACCCAGAATGTACATACCAGGTCCATACTTGTCCATGCTTGGTCAGGGCCAGGGAAAACTGGGCCCCACACTCAATCTGAATGACCCCTTGACCGGTCAGCCTCTCCACCGGGTGTGGTACGTTACATCCCTCACTTCCTCCTCGCCCCAGCTTGCCAAAGTCCCCATCACCCCAGGAATAGACCACGCCTTCGTCTGTCAGGGCCAAGGTCTGGGCGTCACGACTGCCGCACGCCACCTGTACCACGCGCTGACCCGCCAGTGCTGCCACCTGGTGGGGGGGACAATGCCAGTTTTAAAAAACAAAATTTTCTTTAATTGAATTTAGTGTCAAACCTCACATCTGGAAGTAGGGGCAGTTTTGATGTTTTCATCATCGAGTCAATGATATGAGAATGGCAGAGCAGGTTTGCCAACCTCTCCATGCTAAAAATAGGATTTTCCTTGAAATTATTGATAAGAATCCTCTCTAAAATTTGGAGTTTGGGGAAAAAAGTCTGGGGTCTCCAGAGAGAACCCTAGTAGATTCATATCACATTAAGAAACGATTGTGGCAAATAAATGTGAATTGCAAAAACACAGAAATATATATAAATTTAAAAAGTGTATGTTCATGTCAACTACGATAAGTTGCTCTTCATTGACAGCAAAAAAATTCAAGAAAAATTTTTTTTTCTGCAAATCAGATAGGAGTTCTTCCGCAGGGGAAAAAAATAATAGAAAATGCTCACCTTCCCACAGGTCTCCCCAGCGTTTCTCACAGATACAGTAGCATTTTAGATAATTAATATACTTGATAGCAGTGATAGTGCTGGAGGGTGGTATGACTATGTCACAAAGTAAGACAAACAAGCCGTACTCTAAATCTCGGGTTTATAAAACAAAAAAAGTCAGACCAGTTAAGTAGCAGACAGCAAAAGACAATAATACACAGGTGAACGGACACAGGACACAGCACTGCTACACAACACACTGAGCAGCAACACTCACCAAAGCCATGACACACAAGACAACTGGTGAACCGAGATGCAACAAGATAAAAGTCACCACAGTTCGCTGCGGCATGCTGTATATTGTTTTGTTTTTTTCATCCTTCCTTTAAGAGTAACATTTATCCTCGTCAGTTCCTGGTGCACCCCGTCCATCATCATGTTGGTTTTTAGTTTTAGTAGAGGTTTTACGGCGCTCGCAACAGGATACGGTCATATGACTGCCAGAAGATTAGAGGTGTTACAAGAGAGTACTAAACATAAAAAAGAAGAAGGGGAGATAAGGATGATAGATGTTTGATAGGAAAGAAGAAGCAAACCACACCAGAGCACCCGCCAACCAACCACCATCATCATGTTGACACGGCCTGTAAAACTACAATGTGACCACAACAAAAACCCACTGACCTGCTTCGGCTTGAGCTGTGTGGTGTTGTCTCCGTGGCCCAGCCTGCCATAGTCGCCCAGCCCCCAAGTGTACAGGTCACCGTTAGAAATGATGGCTGCGCTGTGAGAGCTGCCACAGGCAATGTCACGCACACGCTTAGACTTGAGCGCCTCTACCAGGCGAGGAGTATCACAGTTCCTTTTCAGAGGAATATAAACAAATTGAAAGCTGAAATAACCGATTACAGCTCCTAATGAGAGGCAATAAGCAAAAAAAAAGATTTTTTACCTGAATATGTTTATAACCATTCAACTCTAATAAACTGACTAACGAGATGTAGTGGTTGTAAACTTGGCCATCATGCAAAAGTAGAGGGTTTGAATCTTGTTAGTAAAAAGGAAACACAAACACCATGATCCACAACCTCCCCACAGGAATTTCTTCAAAGGGAAACTCTTCAAAATTTTAAAAATTGTTTTATCAGATCCACAGATTCATAAATCCAGCCAAGTGCTCCATCTTCCAAATAACTTTGGTTGTGTATCTCTAACGGCACGTAACTCATTCCAAACTAAATAACCATAGAAGAACGAGGAGAAAAATCTTATGTACTTACATCCTGCTGGACAGTCCCAGCTTCCCATCGTCACCCTCTCCCCAGGCAAAAATTTTGCCGTCGATGCTCAGCGCCAGTGCATGTCGACCACCTGAATGCACTGCCACTTTCTTGATGACGTACTGGCTCAGTGACGACAACTGTCGTGGAACTGACACGTTGCCAGTGACAGAACCCAGACCCAGTCGTCCATTGGTTCCCTCACCACAGGCAAACATCTTACCGTCTTGGGTCACTGGATACATCAAAGTTACAATCATATCTCATAATAAACTTGATGATAAAAATGAAAAGAAAAATAAACTACTACAATCAAACTGTGAAACAGGCTGGAGTAAATCTTAATACTCAAGTTTTGTTTGTTAGAACTCTTCAAAAGGGATTAAAAGAAAATAAACAATTTTAAAACTGCTATGCTGAGAATATCATAATTAAGAAATAACTTGAAACAGGATAATTCGCTTCCATAATATCTGATATGTCTTGGCTCCCAACATTACAAAAGCAGTGACTGAACTATTAAAATTTTATAATACAAATTATAGCCCTTATGCTGGTTTTTTTCCTGCTAAAACTGGTGATGGCCCCACCACTAAACAAAAATAGTATGAATTATAGGGGAGCAATATGTCTACAAATAAATGAATTACACATTAAGAAAATCATTAAGATTCTTTACGAAAGCAAAAAACTAGAGTTTTAACAACAAGATCATGCCACCTACTCACCACAAAAGAGACTCTTGGAACCTCCAGCTATCTGAATGCAGTTGAGAGCTGACAGAGACTCATTTAAAACAGGCATCTTGATCTGTTGATAAAACAAAGATCCTCAAAACATGTGTCATCAGCCAATAAATAGAGGTGACAAGCATTCATAATGCTTATTACATCAAGATGTAAGAAAAAAAATTTGAAGAGACAGATGGTTTTTCAAGAATTAAGAAGAAAATTAGAAGAGACAGAAGGTTTTTCAAGATGAAGAGTCTTGTATCATCTATTACTCTCTCTTATGAAACATAGCCAAGAACAGTCAAATCCGCCCAAGACGAACATCCATTGTCCAGGAGAAAAGTGGCAATCATACACAGGTGGTGCTCATGGACAGTATCATTATGATATATTATAAAAAACGCAAGGGGGTTGATTAAAGTGGTTGTTTGTACAGGTGACTGTCTTGGACAGGCAGTAGCCAGAGCTGGTTCGATTTCACCTTTTTTTAAGTAGAAGTATTTTTCCAAAACATATTATTTTGACCCTCCACTGACATCCATACACACCCAAATCGTTTTTAATCTCCGAAGAGATATAAAATTTCAAACTTTACATCAATTGGCCAATAAATTAGTCTCACAGCCAGGAGTAAAATCTCAATAATAATAATAAGGCTGATTGATGCAATTCAGGAGGAGGAGGAGGAGGAGGAGG